GATTTGATGCAGGAAAAAGAGATGAGAGGCAAAGGATGTCCTACCGGGCATGCCAGAAATTTGTATACACAAATTTTGTAAGTCTGCAAATAAAGACAAAATATGGGCAAAATAAAAAATTATTAATTTATAAATATTTAGAGTACAATCCTTTGTAATATCTTTTACAGAAAGAATGGTCATCTGATTCGATCTCCTTTTTATTTGGTTGGATCCAAAGCTGCACGAGCTTGATCTTGAATCACCGTGAAATTTGATGAAGATTGGCACGTCGTTGGATGTGCTTGTTGTTGAGCACCGTGGGATTTGATGAAGAACGGCACGTCGTTGGATGTGTTTGATGTTCTTCGCTTTTGGGTTTGGATTTTGAATTTGTGTCTCTGATTTCTGAGTCTCTAGATTTCTGGACTTCAGAATTCTGAATTTGTGTTCTTTGTTTCTGGATTTCTGAATTCTGAATTTGTGTCTGAATTTCTGAACTTCTGAATTTTGAATTTGTGTCCTTTGTTGAATTTGAGGAAGAACGGCACGTCTTTGGATGTGCTTGTTATTCTTCGTCTTCAAAGAGGATTTGTTGAATTTGGTGAAGAATGGCACGACTTTGAATGTGCTTGGTGTTCTTCGCCTTCAGGTTTGCCCTCTGGATTTCTGATTCCCTCAATTTCTGGATTTTGAGCCTCTGGATTTCTGGACTCTGGATTTTTGTCCCCCTTCTTCCTTTCTCCAAGCCTCTATTTATAGACTCTTGAATTAATAGGATGATGACACGTGTCCTCTCTTGATAAGGAAAAAATCATAACTGGGACAGGCCGGTTATATTATGATAATTATCCTTAAAAATAATTATTCCAAATATATTTTATTATGAATAATTATCTTTCCATTTAATCATCTAGGCTGAGTTAATTAAATAATTTAAGTGGACCAAGTTTGGGCCAGTTAAATAACTTAATTAAACATTAGGCCCATATTTAATGGGTCCATTTGTCAAAACCAAAGTCCACTAAAATTTTAATGTCTACAGGCCCTAAGCATATTTGGTAACGCTCGCTGTCATTTGAATAGTACTAAAGCGCTTCCAAAATTGAGGTCAAAATCAGAAGCATCAAAATAATGCTTTGATTTGATTCCGCACTATAGCAAAGCACTATTGAAATTATTATTATTATTCTTTCTAAATTAATATTTTTAACTAGTCATTTAAATTTTCGAACTTGCAACACTTTTTACCAAAAATGTTCTCATCTTTTTGCTTTCAAAAATCTTGTAACAAATTTACTTTACCAAACAAGTTTCAAAATTGTATTGAACAGAATCTAAAGCGGAAATATTATTTCCACTTCGAATTAAAGTAAAAGCACAAAATAACTATGATTATTAAACGATCAACTGATAATTAAATTTTGTTACACCAGCAACAAAATCATTTTCGAACATTTCAAATGTTGTTAAATGGTGAGTCATATTTTTGGAAGACGACAATTAAAATAAAACGGAAGTAGTAACATGCTTCTAGTTCTGAATGGATTGAGGCCCAATTCATCATGGTGTCTCCTCTTTGTCTAAGAATAATAGAAGGATTCTTGGGACTCGTTATAGGATTATTTTTCTTCTTTTTCCTGAATCATTATTGGAATATTACTACGTAAGACGGAAGAATCATCATTTCAATTTCTTATTGTTCTTATTAAAATAATCATTACGCATGTGACGTGTCTTTTTCCAAAAATCCCAAATTCAATCTCAGTTGGTTTTTTCGATTTATCATTATTATAATTCTTTGAAGATTGTCTTTTTCATCTAAACATAAAAGACTTTTTGTTTTTTTCTTTTACGGACATTCCTAAATGTGTTATTCTAACAAAATAATTTTGTAAGAGTTGATCAATCATGTGCTGATTTGGCCAGACAAAATAAATAAATAAAATAAAAATTGAGATTCTTTTTTTGATCTATTTTTTAATTTAATTTTTTTTTTAAAAAAAAAAAACTTTGGGTAGAAAATTTTCACTTGAGATTGACTAAAATAACTACAAATAAAAATAACATAGAATAAACTATAAAGCAAATTTCCTCCCAAATTAAAATTTCAAAATGTTTTTGTTTTAGAAGACATCACAATTACTAATGATCAATAAATATAAGAACTATATCACCTTCATATCTGTGTTTTTTTCTATAATTAATAAAACTGAACAATATATCCTTCAAAAAGTTATATATAAATTTTCTAATTATCCTCCGTGAGGTTAGAAGCCTATTGTCATGGGTTTGGCCCTTCCCAGCTCCATTAAGGAGCAAATGAGATCTCAGCTCCTGGTCTTACAATGAATGCTTATGTTCTATACAAGTGGCAACAATCTAAAGATGGAGTGATCGGTAGAATTAGCCACCCGAAAAACTATCTCTATCATTCTAGAAATAAACAGGTGTAAAGAATTCTAGGTTACTCTGTATAGCTCTAAACTAGAAATGACAAAGACAAAATATCTTGCCCTATTCTATTTATACTGATGAAGTGTAAAGGGAAAAAATTTCCTTCAACTATTGTTCCTCTTAATTGCCCCTTAACTATTTATTTGTTATCATGAGGGACAAAATTATGGTAAAAGTCTATTTTACCTTATCTCATTAAATTTTTTGTTTATTATTAAATTATTTTTATTATTTTTTCTCTTATATAAATATTAATTAAACTATTTAACTTAATTTTATTCAAAACATTAATTTATCATAAAATAAATAAAAAAAGACAACTAGGTACCATTTTCTAAAATGATTAAATTATTATTAAAATTCATTATTTATTATAAAACTTATTATAACCAATTTAACTTTTTTTACCGTAGAAAAATATATACTTTTCATATAATATATTAATGAAAAATTAATAAATTAATTGAATTAAAAATATTTTCTTTTTCATATATTATATTTATGAAAAAATAATTAAAAAAATTTAAATTTTCTGCTAAAGTTTTTATTTAGAAAATTAAAGGTAAATTTATGCAAATTTAATGGAGAATATGTCATCAAATTGGTATGAATTTTTTTTTTATATAATTTATTTCAAAAAAACATAGATCAATTGTAATTCAATAAGAAATGGCATTATGGTTATTTAATGAAATATAGCATAGGCATTGGGATATTTTGTAACAAAATATGATAATTTATGAGGTATTATACACAAAATATAGTTTAAGGGGGTTATTTGCAAATTCAAACATAGTTCAGGGAGGTTTTTTTTGCACTTTAACCATTAATAAATTATAATTTTGTCCTTAATTTCGTTTTAAATTCAATAATATTATATTATTCTATTAAGCAAATCATAGTTTATTCTATTTCAATCACCAAATATTGATTTGTATTATCCTATTTTAGAACTTCTATGTATCATTTTGATATTCATACAATAATCCTAACTTGAAGCCATACATTTCATCCAGCAAGAAAAAAAAACCTATTTCGAAATATAGGCTTTTGGGGTTCCTCTTCTATCCAGGTCATATCTTCGCGGTCTTAATTTTGATTTTATTTTTTTCATGCTTTAAAAGTATGTTTAATAAAATAATTTTATTTTTAAAAATTTTAAAAGTAATTATTGTTTCTATGAAGATAAGAGAAAGTAAGAAATTGTCATTTTTCCTACTTTTGAATAAAGACGTTTTGTCGGCTCCTTTATATCATCATATAGCTCTCTAAGCTCCTTCATTGCCATTTTTACAGCAGAGGTCTCCTTCCTTTGTCATGTTTGCCATTGATGCATCTTTGATCGGTTGTGAGATATAGAACACGAAACATGTCAGCTCGATTCACTTACATCCACATATATTAACTTTTATACTAATCAGAGTTTTCCTCAATTTGGAGAGGACTGTGACTTTCCAACAAGTATTCACCAAAAATTAGTTGACCTTTTTAACACAATGCAACCAAACTTGGTAGCACTTCTTCTTTTCATTATTCATTGAATTAATATTGAGAAATGTTATTGCTTAAAATATCATAATTAATCTCTCGGTGAAAATGAAAAATTTATCAGCTGTTCAAAGAAAGCAAAATGAAAAATCTATTAAAAGTGGATTAAGAGAAACATTTTTCATGCCAATTATTGCGAAAAATTGCATGTTTTCTTAATCTTGCTTAATAGGAGTAGTTGATTTGAAAAAAGTAAAGAGAGTTAAAATCAAGGAATTAGAGCAAAATAAGAGATTGATTATCAATATTGGATTAGAAAGTCTAAGACAATATTAGATTCCTAATTTTAAAGACATAAAATATTGTAATCATTGGTGAACTAGATTCTTATTTGTATGAATTTCCAAGTTATTTATATTCCACACATTTATATGTTCCTCAAATTTCGGCATGGCATACAAGAGCATTTCCAACCATTATATATATATATATATATATATATATATATAGTGTAAATCTGTGTCATAATAGATTTATATAAAAAATTTGAATTATTTATTTTTAACTCTACCCAAAGGCTGATCTAGGAATAGCGAAGGTGGGCTTTAGCCCACCCTAAAAAAATAAAAAATTTAGCATACAACTTTAAGCCCAGCCCCAAAATAATTAAAAAAAAAAAAAAAAAAAAAATTAATAATGGTAGCCCACCCAAAATTAGCCCAATCCAAAATTAGCCCATTCCATTTAAAAATGCTAGATCCGCCCTTGGCTCCACCGGCTGTTTTAAATCAATGAAATGTGTTGATGTATATGTATAAAAAAGTTATATAAAATACATAATTTTACACTATATAGAGTTGGATGAGAATCGAACTCACGCCAAAGTGGAGAGATATGATTGTCTAGCACATTAAGCCCAAAAGATGGCCACCCTTTATTTATGGACCATGGGCCACCATTTTGCTGTCACCTATACTTTCCCAAGTTTGGATGGGTTGTGATGGGCTATAAACCTGTAATTTAAATGCTCAAAACATACCATGAGTGTGTGTGTGGATATATATCTATAAAAGCTTGTCAAGTCCACTCATTTATGTCATTTTACTTATGCGCTCTTTTCTTGATTAGCTAAATTGAGGACAAAAACTCCTCGTCTCATCAACTCTGCTGGCGCTTACTCAACATATATATATATATATATATTTTACAAAAAAAAATATAAATATTTTAACAAACGGCTGAAAATGCTCTAACTTTCTCAAATCAGTTCTTACCGCTAAAAAAGCTGTGTGATTCTTGTCTAATGAAAAAAAAAAAAAATTAAAAAAAATACTAAATTTATCTTTAAAGACAGGTTTTAACAAATCAAGAGCACATAATTATTATGTATCCATGTACGTTTTATATCCTCTGCGATTAGGGCTTTTTTCAATCCATCTGAGGCAACTGCGAGACTCGAGCAAGCAAAAGATGGGTCACTCAAATGTGTGGAACTCGCACCTGGTAATTGTTATATCTGAACCCTTGTCTCACTCTGATAATTATATTCTGATTGTTCTTGTTTTGATTTTCAAAACAGCAGTTTCTGGTTCTGGGCTACCGTATCTCCATTTGTGGCTTTTGCTTACTTGTGACTTTGCAGATTTAGGGTTTGAGTTTCAAATTGAGTTTCTTTCCCTCATAAGGCTATTATAGTGTTATGTTTGTCAAATAAGCCGTTAATGACATAAAACATGTAAGAAACAGTTTGATTGTACTAAATGGAGGAGTTTTTTTTTTTTTTGTGTGTGTGTGTGTGTGTGTGTGTGTGGATATTGAGTGTTTTAGGGTGAAGTATTTGGTATGTGTACCCATAACTATGATTTACCAATCTGTATAATTATCTGTTTGATGTATACAACTATCTATATTATTTGATTATAGTTCAACATGGATGACAGTCAGTGAGGGATCCAGAAATTTGTTTAAACAATAATAAGGTAAAAAAAAAAAAAAAATCAATTAAAGTAGTATTTAACTTAATTATAGATTGATAATGTTTTAATAAAACATTTTAACAATTGTCTTTAACTAGTTTCAAGTTTTAAAAATGTTGCAACACCGCTCTCTTCTATCTCTTGACCATAAATTAATTAGGACTTTTCTTATTGTTTTAGTAGTTACACTTCTTCCATGAAGAGATGGATTGTCAATGGAAAGAATAGGAATAAAATTATTTAAAGAGAGAGCAGTGGACGATGAAGGGAGGGGTAGTCCAGATGGAGACTAAAGCTGATGGAGTTCGTCGCTAGTGTTTATGTGCAATATGGATGCAAATGAGAAGAAAGAAATAATGGGGCAAAAAATATAAGTTACCAGGGCGTTTATAAAATTATCCAAGATTTTATAGGTAAAGATAGAGTTTTCTAAAAATCCAGTGGGTGCAAGTGCCCCCACTAAGCCACTCTTAGGTCCGTCCCTCATGTTAGTTAGCAATTTAACATACTTTCAATAGATTATGAATATATCCAACTTGTTTAATTCTCAACAATTTTTCTTGGATACATATAAAATAATCTAGCTAGAAAGTTGAAAAAGGTTTTGTAAATCGGGTATTTTATTTTGTCCAAGAGAGTTGATCCACAAGTATTGAATTAGAATGTTAATGTTGTGGTGGGTGAGATAGTTTTGCTTGCTTCTTATCTTAAGAAAGGTCACCTGGAAGCATACTGCAGTATTTGTTAAGTGTCTTTCATTTTGAATTGCCATAATCTGCTTTTGATGTTTAGCATTTATTTTGCCTTGTTCTTGTCTTTACACAGTGGTCTCAAGTTTGAAAAAAGGAGGGTTGTATTAGGTAGTTGACACTAGCGTAAAATTGTTTAGTTCATTGTATAATTAGGAGGGAAAAGACAGGGTGGGATACAATATGCGAGGCAAGGAGATAGATTTTGTGAAAGTGTTGTGGAGCCATCACAAAGATGATGAAGCTTCTTGGGAGATCTAATCCAAAATGAGAGTGATATATCTGCATTTGTTTGAATTAGGTACACAAATAAATATGGGGTATCCCGGGAGTATCGACAATGTGGTACCCCGGGTCAATGGTTATCAAGGGAGATAGCGAGTATTCATTGGCCAAGGGTACTACATAGTTGGTACCCCGGGTATCCAATATTTTTCCTAGGTATGCAAATTTTGAGGACGGAATTTATTTTTTAAAAAATGTAGGATGTTAACAACAACAACAACAATAATAATAATTAGGGTATATATTAAATATAATAATATAAAGTGACCGACTCTATCCATATTAGATAAAGGCAAGATGATGATGAATAATAAAGGTAGATGTTGGGATAGCCTACTATTCCGAACAAGAAATATAAAAAAAGTTTAAAAATAATATAGCCTTGTAATTAAATGAAGGAAAAAACCTTTACTACATAAGTTGGAGAAAATATAAATAAGGTATACTCATATTCTCTGTAATTTTGGGGAAAGAAGAAGATCCAAAGAGGGAGGCTCGTCAATCTATCAATACACCAAAGAATCAATTTTTCAAGACCTGCCCCGCATTGTCCAAAGGGATGGCAACGGGACGGTTTTGGGCGGGTGTACCCTCCCCCGTCCCCACCCTGTTTAAAGTTTCTGTCCTCGTCCAAAATCGCCTAAACGGGGTACTCTCCTTCCTCATCCCCGCCCCGTTTACATTTTTCACCCCGCGGGCACCGTCCCACCCCATTTACTCCTAAAATTTCTCTCTATTTTTTTTCCTTAAATACAATTATATAAGTATTAAAAAAATTCATAAAAAGGGTTATCAATAGTTTTATATAAAATTCAAAATTACGAACATTCCATAATGGCAAAAGTGCCAAATTGATTGCATTACTAAATAATGATTGTTGTTAATTCGTTAGAACACTACTTTCTTGATTCCCTAGTGTGTTGATTAATTTTTATAGATTGACGGGCCTACTTGTTTCTTCTTCTTTCTCCAAAATTGGAGAGTACGAAAATAACCCTAGATGTATTTTCTCCAGTTTAGATAGTAAAGCTTTTATTTATTTGGTTATAAGAGATATATTATTTTTAATTCCTTTTATTCTTATTTAGAATAGTAGGTTATCTAATATCTGCCCTTATTGTTATTATTATTATTATTCACTTATTATATTACTACTTAAAAAATTCTTCTTTACCTTTTTAGATTCAGGGTATCCTAGGTGACATGAGACATCACAAGCACTCCCACTTGGGTCCTAGCGTCCTTGTTGGCCTGACCCTCGTTGGCTTGTGAGGGCTCTCCCCGTATTTCAGTTGGGATTGGCTTTGATACCATACTAATATAAAAACTATTTAAATTGTGTATATGTGTGTGGGGTCCATATATTTAATAATATACATATAATAGCAAGCAATTAAAATTATATTTGTCACATGTACATCTACTAACCCCTTACTCATATTTATACGCAATTTCAACCATCATTTGTTTGACACCTATACCATTTTCACTGCCACACGTCATATATATTTGCATTCATAAATACAACACATACCTTACTAAGATGAGATCATTATGCATTATATATATGGAGCCCACATATATATAACAAAATTTAAGCCATTCTTATATTAGTATATCTATAACAATAATATATTAGTGGTGGTAGTATCGTAAATATAAGAAATACTATGTATATAGTTCTTATTGTATCCGAGACGGGGCTAAATAACATAAAAGGAAAACTAGAGTCGAGTTTTAAAGCTTTGGGTAAATTGCACTCACACCCCCTGAGGTTTTGGTTAACGCCACTCAGCGGATGATCAACGCACTTGTTTACATTGACACTCCCTGAGGTTTCAAAAGTTTACACACACACCCCCTTTAGACCTCTGACACTCAAGGAAATGACCATTTAACACTTTAAAAAGTGTTAATTACTAATATAACCCTATAAACTAAATTTTGAAGGACGAAAATAACCTTCATTTTTCATTCTCTCTCTATCCTCACCAGTCACCACCAACATGTTACACAATATACATTTATGGCCGCTCTATCCTCCCATTACCCTATCCGAAGCCTCTATCCTCCCATACCCCCTCTGTCACTATACACCACATGTAACACCACCCACCATTGCTGCCCCCTTCATGAGAAACCCACCATTACCATCTCAACATTCATAAACAAACACACCGAATCTTCAATCAAAAGCGACCACCACCGCTGCCGCCATCAATCAGAAGCGACCACCACCACTGCTGTCGAATAGAAGCGACCCAAAGGCTTAAAGAAGAAGAGAATCGTGAATCAGAGGCAAAAGCCCTCTGCGAAAAGCGACGAGACCGTACAAATTGTGCTCAACGACGGCATGATCGGCAATTGTAGTGGCGAACAAAGTTCTGCTCGGCGATGGCAACAGTTTCGACATCGGAAATCGCATCGTCGTTCTTCTCTTCGCTGGTGCGGTTAATCATCTTCGCCGGTAATTTCGCCGTGTGTAGGATTAAGATCGGGCTCGGTGGTCCAACAACTTGCTCTGGCCATCATCAGCGACATTGTGGTCTTGGGGTTTGAAGCAACTTGGCCAGGGATGTCGACGGCAAAGGCAGAGGAGGTCACTGGGTTGGATCTGTTGTGCGGTGTTATCGTTCGAGAATGATTTGAAGTGGTGAAGTTTCCAGTGTTGGTGATGGCGCTGCTGCTATAGAGCGAAAATGGGTGTGTGGGTGTGGCGGTGGTTGTGGTGGTGTGTATGTGGGTGTGACCCATTGTCTTCTTTGGAAAGAACTCCTCAGAATCTATTGCTGCCAATGACCTTTGACCCAGAGGCGTGTTTGATGTTGCGGTGGTTGTGGTGGTGGGGTGTGGGTGTGGCGGTGGTGGTTGAGAATGGATTACAAAATAATGATTAGGGTTATTTTTGTCAATTAACAGGTTCAGAGGTAAATATGACATTTTGAAACCTCATGGGGGGTGTCAATGTAAACAAGTGCGTTGATCGTATGCTGAGTAGCGTTGATCGAAAGCTCAGGGGTTGGGAGTGCAATTTACCCTAAAGCTTTTTACCATACCCGTCCCTCTAACACTTGGGGGTAGCAATTTGCCCCGCCCCCAATGGGACGAGGATGGTATGCTTCTAAACGGCATATGGTATTACATATTGGAAACCCGACTTAGGTTCGGAGATGGGTTTTATGCTATCCTCATCCCGAATACAATAGAAAGTTAGAAACTATATATATAGCATTTCTTATATTAAAATACTGCCACTATTATATTTATGTCACATATCAAACTGCAGGCCTGCCCCTTGTTTTAGTAGGTGATTCACTACCGAAGCGAAGAAAAGGTTGGATCAAGAAAAGGGGGTACTACGAGCCCTCTACCCCACACATCTAACCAGTTCGTGTGGTTCACCGGGACTTCCTGAATAGGCCTTATTTGGTAGGTAACATCGACGAAAGCTATGAACTTAGAAATGGAACCCCTCCCCTCCGCAACACATAAAAAAAAACAAAAATCACCGTTCCTCATTCCTGTGCCCTTTCTTCTCCAAACCTCTTGAATGATTCCACCTATAGTTGTTGAGTCCCATAAACCTCTCTCTCACAGTCACATCTCGTTCATCAACGATGAAGAAGAAGAAAAAGACGACAAGGAGGCACATCCACCTTCGGAGGAGTCGATAGCATGATCTATATCATTCATCTTTTTTATTTACGATCTTACTTGATGTTGTGTTTAGTGGTTTGTTTGGAGTTTGATGTGAAAATGGGTTTGACAAGGAGATGGTGGAAATTGGGGCGGGGATGGGATGGGGTTTTTCTTCACAGGGCAGACAAACCCATCCCGTCAGTATCCCTACTAACTTACTAACCCTATAAAAGTGTGTCCCATACCCGCTATATTAGCCTTATTAGGGGGTGGGTGAAATTGCCACTCCTATTCTCTTTGCTTAGTTCCTTTTTCTTTTTGCTAGTATGTTTTTTTTTTTTGTTAGTATGATAGATGGGTATATGCTGCTTGCTTTTTTAAACATGTTTGCTCCCCCTCGCTAACCAGTTTTTTAACCTTCTGTAAAAAGAGCGAAAATACTTGAAATAATGTCAAAGAAATGTTTTTTTCTGGGTACTGATATATGCAGTAAACCTTGCTTATTGGTATTGTGGAGAAATTAAAAAAAAAAATTGGCATTTTATGTATAAAATAACATATTATATTATTTTTTTATTGCCAGTGGTCCATCTCCGTATCTTCTTTTTTTTCTTTTTCTTTTTTTTTTCTTTTTTTTTTTTTTTTTTTAAGTTTTTGCCATATCACCATATTGTTATATGGCGTACGTGTACTCCTTGTATGTGCTTCCTTGATAACCCCCATAGGAGTAGCAAAAATTATTGGCTGTAGGCATTTTTTAAAAAATAATTAATATATCATTCTATGTTTTTGGTCTTATTACTCTGCACTTAATTGTACTGAGTTGTTTCCTTTTTGGAATTTTAGATATGTTTCAGTGCTGTTTATCAGTTGTGAATGTATGGCATCTTGGAGATCTTTGTTGGAATATTTTTGCACAGAAGTAGGAGAAACGTGGTCGGGTTAATCATAATGCTAATTCTCTCCAATGATCATGTGAATACTTGGTTTTTTACCCTATGATTGCTTGCTGGGGAAACGGAGTTTTGTATATGCTGACCAAAAAACATGGTCCAATCTTAAGTGCATTAGCATGTGAATAATTTATCAATGCACATGTTGAATGTTCAATTGAACAGGGTATCTATCTTCGGGTTTGAAGAATGAGAACTGCGAGATTCATATTCAGTTTCATGTCCTTTTCCATAACTTTGGAACCAAACTCAGGATTTCAGGTTTCTTTGAAAGCCTGATCAATATTTGTGAATTCAAATAGGGAATCTCAAATTGTAAAGAATTATGTCAAGTGTGTGGTTTGATGATGAGATTCTGGGGAATAATGATTCCCTAGGACACCTAACTTCCTATATTACACACGAGTTTCTGATGAAAATTTTGTATTATAAAGGTGTACCTTGATTATTTTAAATTTTTATAGAGAAATGACTAAATTAAAAGTGGCATTACATTCCGTTAGTAACAATCTTGACTTCCAAGGATCTGCACTAAAAATTTGTACTTCGTAGAGTCTAGAACTCTCAAGGACTGAAATTATTACCAAAAATAAAACCCTTAAGAGTTTAGTTTTTATTTTTATTTTTATGATAAGTAAAACGCCCTTAGTAGTTTTTAAATATCAAATGTCAATTAAAGAGTCCTTAATGGTGTCATTTTGAATTTTTTGGAGGAACATGATAGGTTCATTCCGAAGATTCTAAGAAAATTTAAGTGTTCAAGTGGATGCAGTAGAATGATTTCATTTCAATATGATGCCGAATGAAAGTACATTGACTTACTACATTCTGCAATTTATGATTTTTATTGCTTTCTTTCTGGAGCTTTGTTCCTCTCTTCCTAATTTTGGCTGCTCAAGCCTTTTTTCTTGTTCATTTGAATTCCTTGAATCGAATGAAGTGTTATAATTGCAGATTCCTTCTAGGGAGGTTTAGGAAAATTTTTGAGAAAAACATATTGTGCCTTTTGTTATTGCTTTGATAATTTTTGTCAAATTTTAAATTGGTTTCATGAAAATAGATCAACAACTAATGCTGTTATTTTGCAAGTCGTGTGTGTGGGAATCCTCACGGGTTGATTGTGAAGTATGGTATTATGTGCTGTAGACAGTGCTTCCGCAGCAATACAAAGGAAATTGGCTTCATTAAGGTAAATCTTTGATATTATTACGGTGATAGCACATAAGCTTTGTTGGGAAATTTACATTTGGATTTCTGTTTTTGGCTTTATAAAAGTGGTCCCTCATTTTTGTGTTTTTGTTCATGCTTCTTAGTTTCACTCTGCTTGAAAGCTTTCATATGATGTTTTAATTGAACAGGGTATCTATCTTCGGGTTTGAAGAATGAGAACTGCGAGATTCATTTTCAGATTCATCTCATTTTCCTAAACTTTGTAACCAAACTTAGGATTTCCGTTTTCTTTTAAAGCCTGATCAATGTTTGTGAATTCAAGTAGGGAATCTCAAATTCTAAAGAATTGTCGCAAGTGTGTGGTTTGATGATGATATTCTAGGGAATAATGATTCCCTAGGACACAGCAGTTTCAGTTTTTGCCTTCCCATATTGGTATAAATTGTCCTCTCCAAAGACACGAATTGTTAATGACATATTCACACTTCTTTTTTTGTCCAATTAAAATATTTTGGAGATAATTTTTGAAAATTTATTTTGCTCTGACTGCAAAATAGTTCTTTGATGTTCCAGGACAAAATAACTTGTAAGAAATAAAATGCTTTAAGGACAAAATCTAATGAAGTTTTTGTATTATAAAGTTGTACATTGATATTTCAAATTTTTATAGAGAAATGAGTAAATTAAAAGTGGCATTACATCCTGCTAGTAACAATCTTAACTTCCAAGAATCCGAACTTCGTAGGGTCTATAACTCTCAAGGATTGGAATTGTTAGCAAAATATAAACCCTTAAAGAGTTCTTTTTTCTTCTCTTTTTTGCTAAGTAGAACGCCCTTAGTAATTTTTAAATATCAAATAAGAGTCCTTAATGGTGCCATTTTGATTTTTTTTTTTTTGGAGGAACATGATAAGTTCATTCTGAAGATTCTAAGAAAATTCAAGTGTTTTAGTGGATTCAATAAAATGATTTCATTTCAATATGATGCCGAATGAAAGTACATTGAATTACTTCATTAAGCAATTTATGATTTTTATTGCTTTCTTTCTGGAGCTTTGTTCCTCTTCTCCTAATTTTGGCTGCACAATCCTTTTTTCTTGAGAGAGACTTCATTTGATTTCCTTGAATCGCATGGACATATTCTTATAGGGAGGTTTAGGAAATTTTTTGAGAGAAACATATTTGTGTCCTTTTGTTATTGCTTTCATAATTTTGGTCAATTTAAAGTGGTTTCATGAAAATAGATCAACAACTAATGTTGTTATTTTGCCAGTCGTGTGTGTGCGGGAATCCTCACAGGTTGATCCGGAAGTAATGGTATTATGTGTTGTAGACAGTGTCACAGTGCTTCCGCAGCAATACAAAGGAAATTGGCTTCATTAAGGTAAATGTTTGAATATTCTTATGGTGAAAGCTCATAAGCTTTCTTGGGAAATTTACATTTACCTTTATAAAGATGGTCCCCCATTTTGTGATTTTGTTCTTGCTTCTTACTTTCACTCTACTTGATGTTTTAGTATCGGTTTGTGTTGTCATGTGCTTATTTTTACTGTCCTTGTTCGTACTATTCCGTTCCATTTTCCTGTTTTTTCTTTGAATTGGGTGTTTATCGTGCCACAACTTTTCTTTTCAGTATCACTAAAGGATTATGCGGGTTTTCCAAGAAGAGATTTTGAGGATTTGAATTTTGTCAAGTATAACGCGGGTTTGGTTTGTACCATTAAAGTGACGTTACGGACTCTTTTGTTATTTATCTTTGTACACAACTAATATGACTGGATGACAGATTCTTGTTCTACTTAGCACTGAACTTGAATTACAGATGCCACTGGAATTTTGTACACAAATAATATGACTGGATGAAAGATTCTTGTTGTACTTAGCACTGAACTTGACTTATAGTTGCCACTGGAATTTGGTGTCATCTTTTTGTTTTAAAGTCTTGCATTTACGTTCCTTCATCTCTTGCGGTAATCAACACAGTGCTTGCAGAAGTCCTTGTGGCCGGTGGCTGGCCAGGTTAGTGTTAAGACACCATTGTCGAGGTAGTTTATGTATCATATAGAAGTTTATTGTGGTTGCCTTTGTTGGAAGACCTAGGGCAATTGTCCAAGAATTGCTTTTCCGGACTAAAATCCTCTCTTGTCAAACAGTGGTCATGTTCTGTCTCGTGAAATAAACATCACAACATTTTTTGTAACAGACTTCACTAATTGGACAGAACAAGACCACTGTTCTACATAAGATGATTTTGTTCCCTGTTGTTCCTAGTCTTTTTTATGGAGTTGATTACTAGTATTTTGTTTTTTCTTTCCCCATCAGTCAAGTCTGTTGAATGGCATATTGTTTTCAAATTTCAGTCACATCGGATCAGGTTAGATCTGCTACCTTTTGCTGCTTAACTTTATGTGTTCATGCAACTTGGATATAAAAAAAATTATAAAAAAAAATATATATCTGGGGATAGATGGGATAAATATAGTACTGCTACAATGCCCGATCGGTTTTTTTAGAGACTCTAATAGATACTTTTTGGCTTCTTAATAGTGTTCTAATCAATATTTGACACATTAACAGCGGCAACAAAAATCTATTGCAATGTTTTTTTTTTTTTTTTTTTTTTTTTTTTTTTTTTTTTTTTTTACCCTGGAAAACAAGTCAGACGCCATACGGCATTTACAACAAGATCATCGGGCAAAGACAGAGGATCAAAAACACATAAAACACCATTCTAAAATTAACACTTCTTATAGTCAAGATCAAAAGTGTCAGCTATAGAAGGAAAACCATCCAAAAAAAAAAAAAAGAAACAGTACGGACCCCATGACGTCAGTGATGAATCAACCAAAAAAAAACCATCGGCGAAAAAACTAAATACACCTCAGAGATGGTGAACGTCAGCAAAGGACGTAGATGCATCAGATCCACTCCCAGCGCAAAACACCAAAAAGCTCCATAAAAGAGCAGACAAACAAACCAACCTCCGGCAACCAGCGACCCTCGAAAGCGGCACAGGTCAGAAGAGCGGGAACAAAAACTCACAATAAAACGTGAAAGACGCTGTTCACAGCGAAATCTCGACGATAACGAGGAGACACAACAAAAAGGGCGCTAATTCACCCACCAAAAAGGTTGTGTACAACACGCCAATATTATTAATTAGTGAGTGATCGAAATCGGGTTCTCCCCATTCCTATTGGAGGGAGTGGGGAGGAAGCAGATGGAGGAAAGTGAGTAGCTGCAGCTAGGGTAGAGAGGTGACAGAAAAGTTGGGTTGAGAGAGAAAGTTGGGTTAATATAAAGAAAGAACTGATAAAAGAAAATTAATTGAGATGGTGGAGGAAAGGTGAACTCTATGTAATAAGCTAATCTCTAGATCCACTAATTACCCACACAAATCAGCAGTCAACTTTCCAACAGGACAAACATGTCCATTGTTGTATGATTTCTCTGCACCAGTAAACGAAATCAGGGTCAAATCAGACTTTGATCAAATCGTAATCTAACAATATAATTTGGTTTCAATCAGATGTGTGATTTATTGTTTCAAATAAATATTTATTATATGTAAATATTATATATTACAGTAATAGATTATATATGTATAACATATTATATTAGTAAAAACAATATGTCTTTCCGTTGCTGTTAACCATACCAATATACCATGCAAATAAATTCCATCCGCTTGTACACAGTTTTCTCAATAAAAGGAATTTCAGAGCTGCCAAAGCAGAATAAGTAGAGGTTGACCATTCGTATTTATACGAGTCAATAAAAATGACATAATTATTAAATAGGTAATACCATACCATTTGCTTAACTTTATTTAATAAAATGAGTTAGACCTGACAAGATAAGACAAGGCACGTTTAATTAATTTAAACAAATTGTATTATCAAACACAAATTTTAATCCAAATTCACTTCTCTTATGTGGTGCGGAAGTATTGCCAACACTGTCACAAGAGATGTAAAACGCAAAAGGTTTACTAAGTGGAATAAAGAAGAATGGGACATAATTGAACCCTAATAAATATATTCATTGAATGTGTTTTATTCAATTTGTGCATATCTTGTTTAGTGGAGCTGTATATTTATCTATGTGCCTATGTGCAAACAATTCTTATCCACTCCACACAGAGACATTAGCACATTGGATTGAGTGGTATGATTCACCAGACTACCACCAGCTCCAATTTACTGCTTATCCATTATTATCATACCAAAACATGTGTATGTAAGCATGAACCACATGGGTCTTTTAGGCGTGGTTCATACCACCATCACACTAACAACATGGTCCTGTCTCTACACACCCATTCCCTCAAACTTTTCAAATGAATAATAATGGTAATAATAATTATTATTATTTAATAAAAGCTAATGTTACAATTGTCGTCATTACCATTGTCGACATTGTCAATACAATTGTTAAAGAGGAGAGTACATAAGATTAACTACTTCCCACCTTGTCAAAGAGGAGAATACATAAAGTAAACTACTTCACACTTTGTTATTTTATAATCCGTGTCACAATGTCGTCAATTATATTTTATAATCTGTGTCACAATGTCGTCAATTATATTAATTGTAATAGCGAGTACAACTTACTACTCACAAGTCAGGCAATCACATATAGTGAGTCCACACAACTTTGTGAATAGTCCCAGTACCATGTTGTCATAAGTACTAGTCAGAGTCTAATTTAATTTTGCAGGTATAAACAAATGAATTAGCAAATAAATGAATAATATTCAAGATCAAAATTAAAGACAAGCAACACTTCTATGTACATAAACTTCAGAAAACGAAAAAAAAAAAAAAAAAAAACAATAAAAACAAAACAAAAACAAAAACAAAAAAACTAAAAAGAAAGGAAGTGGTTGACAAATTCTTATTATCATTCATCAATTTTGCCAAGAACCCATAGTAGCCGGAATAAAACGCGGTTTCTTGGTCGGCAGAGGACTCTCTACTTCCAGGTCACCGGAAAGTTGACTCTCTCTCCCAGAGTCAACGCTCAACCCCAGATAGAATTCCGGCGTGGCCGGCAAGTTCAGGTCAAATTCACGGTGGGTGCGACTCGAGCCGGCACCTTCGTACGAAGTCGTGCTGCTTCCGCCTTCATAGTGACACCGTTTGTGGCCGCCGAGGGCCTGACCGGTGGCGAAGAACCTGTGGCAGACGGAGCATTCGTGGGTCCGGCCACGGCTGTAGAGGGTGGCTGGGGAAGTGGTGGTGTAGGTGAACGACTTGTCGACGGTGGAGGTTCCGGCACCGGCGGTCTGTTTCCGGTGGCTGGCCTTGTGCCCGCCAAGGGCTTGGTAGGACGAAAAGGCTTTGTTGCAGACACTGCACTTGTAAGAAGCAGCTGAGGAGTCTGTCACTGCTGCGGCAGAGGCGGTGGTGGTGTTGGCGTTGGTGGTGTTGTTGGTGGTGGCGGTGGTGGCGCCGCCACGAGCAAGCATGACAAGGCAGAGGGCGAGGTACTCCTCTTCGGTTGGTAGGTTCTCGAAACGGGGCCGTTTCGAGCGCTTTCCCTTTGCCCATGGTTCAAGAAAGTGGAAGTCCATGTCTTCTTCGTAGTAGAGTGGAGTGGTTGTTGTTGAGGAGTTGAAAGCTTCCAGAGCCATGTTAGAGAGATGAGAGAGAAATATGAAGAAATATATATATATATATATATATATAGAGAGAGAGAGAGAGAGAGAGTTTAGAGAGTGGTTGAGTTTGTAGAGTGAGAGAGTGAGGGGGTGAAGGGAAGGGTTTATAAGGACAAGGGACTGGTGGAAGTGGCGTGAAGAGTGGCGGTGGACGTTTCCGCAGGTGTTATGGATATAATATAGCTATATATTTTATATATGTATCCATATATATCATATATATATATATATATATATATATATATAGTGTTAAGAGAAAATATGACAATAAATCAAGAATAATAATAAATAAAATAATGATGAGTAATTCTAAATTTGAATGTATTCTACTATTTTATGTGTGGTGAATGACATCATCGTGACATTATTTAATATGGTAATGTTTTAGATGTGTCCGACACTCATAATAAATATGCAGCACAACATAATGTATTTGGAGTGAAATTTTTATTTATGTATTGAATTATAAGAGAGTCTAAAAGTTAATTTTACCTTCCGTCATGTATAAAAAATAATAAATTTTATTCAAATAATTAAAAATAAAACAAAATTCGAAACACAACGGCACATATAAAATGCACTCTATAGCGTCTTGGGGGAGTGAATGAGTCGGTCAACAAGAGTGAGAGTGTTGGAAGGGGCGTTTGAGTTGTGTGACTTGTGTTTTAGCTTCTTCAATGGACTTTGTCAAGTCAAAACAAAGGTGGGCATAAAATTTTCAATTCCACACTCTTACTCCGAATTGTGTTAAAATAACCGAATCTGTTGCAATTAATTATATACATATTCCCAACTCTGATTTATAAGATGAGAGAGGTGGTGGACCTAGTTACCTCTTTGTCACATTCTAATTGAAAATTCAAAGAGAAAAAGCATTGTTCATTATTTTATTTATTATATTTTTCATGTTATTATAGTTTTTAATGTAAACAAAAACTTCCACAGATTCTAATAAGTTTTCCTCCAAATTATTGACTTTCGAATGATTGATCTAGTCAAGCAATAAAATATACTGTATGTATGTGTGTGTGTGTATATATATATATGCTACTAGTAATACTTTATTTTTCTTCACTTGTACTTGTCACAAAATTCTTTCAAAGGTAAAATGTATGGATCCTTTTTAAAATAAGGAGAATGAATGTGTTTTTGAAGAGCATTTGTCACATTTCATTTTCGAGTAATATTTTTACAAGATTATTATTATTATTATTATATTCAAACACTTATATTCTCTTGTGGAGATTTGAATTTCATCATTTTTTATTTTGGGAGTTGAAGAGACACAACTACTTTATTTTCCAACCATATAACAATCACATTTATTCAAAATATGTGACTGAACTGAATCAATTATGTAGCATTTTCTTTAAAAATGAAGATTATCAATGACCAAAACGCATCTAACTATTAACTTCCTCACCTTCAAAGTAGATGACAGGGGTTCGAGCCCTGACATGAATAAAGTGTGTATTCACCTAACCAAAAGAGAGAGAGAAAATATATATATTATTGATCACAAATAATTTACGAGCAAGTAATGGTATAACTCTTTTTCAATTTGTGCTTACGAGCACGTAATGGTATAACTCTTTTTCAATTTGTGTTTATGAGCAAGTAATGATATATCTCGTTCTCAATTTGTGTGGAGATGGTAGAATATTGTAGAAAAAAATAAAGAATATTTAAACATTTGTTAGTATAAAACTTGGTAGATTGAAAAAATTCTAGAAAAGTATAGAGTTTTATAAAATTTATAAATTTAGGTGAAAATTGTGATGCATTTGTTCATTAGAGAGAATGATACCTATAAATATACAGAAGTGCCATAAGTGAGAGTGGATTGGGTTAAAAGTTACAAACTTGTTCAGAGAGAATAGATGAAAGCCATGATTTTAGTTTTATGAAATTAGAGTGAATTATTTTTGGACGTTTTATACTACCAGATAGTAGTTACTTGAAAAAAACCAATAATTAAAGGGTGTTTTGATTATATAAAAGATAGGTTCATGCAGAGTGTTCGTTTGACACGCAGTGTTTGCGTTTGGAATATGATTAAAGAAAAAGAAGACATGTAGCGTTTTTTTTTAAACGTTCGGTTAGTTTGACAGCTGAGAAAAAGTTTAGCTTTAGCCACGATGTTCTTGCGTTTGGACTTAGGTAAAAGAAAATGGCCCACACTTGTCGTTATGTATTGGGTGTTGAGAAAAGATAAACAAAAATCGTCGGTTTATCTGAAACGAGTGCACAGGTGTGTATTTTCTGTGATAATTTTTTTTTTCTGTGATAAGTTGCCACATTATAATATTGCGTGTTTGGCAAAGATTCAATCAAAGTAACGAAAGCTTCTAAATTGACACGCATCTGTTTCAAAAAGATTTGAAGTTCGCGTTTGGGCCATATCTGTTGTTATCAGGGGACTAGTTCAGTGGTTAGCTAATTAAGTTCAGAAGTAAGGAAGTAATCTTAAAACCCTAATGCATGATGTATTTGAATTGAAAAAACTTAATATATATATATATATTGAAAGAGTTTGTTAGGGTGAATTATTACTTATTATTTAAAAAATTCAGATATAATTTCAGCAAGTTATGAGTGCATATATATGTTTTACATAGATAGATATCAATCTAATTTTTAATTTTTACTAGTAAAACACATGTACGATACGATGCACGTGACTCCAAATTTGTGTATATTATTAGTAATACGTACTATTATATTATTAAATAAATTTTTTAATATTATATATTTCATTCTTTAATTAAATTTTCATTTATTCAATTTCAATATATTGTGCTACTAATTCATTCTCTAATTATATTTTATTTTATTGAATTAAATAAATAATTTTTTTAATATTATATATTTATTTCTCAAATTAGCCTTTTATTGAATATCAGTAGTTCTAATTAGATTTCTTTTATTGATTTCAGTGTTTCCTACTCTTATATTATGATATAGAATTGTTGTTATTAAATAAATTAATGTACTAATATACTAAATTCAATTATTGATATATTTTGATCTAAAATTATAGTTATGTATTTATTGCAATAAAATATATATTTCCTTCTCTAATTAGATTTATTTTAAATTAATTTTTAGTATTTCCTACAACTATATTATTATTATTAGTATTCATCCTCTAATTAGATTTATTTTTACTAAACTATATAAATAATTTTTTAATATTTTTTTTTCTCTAATTAGATTTCTTTTTGTTGAATTTCAGCATTTCAGTTTTTTTTTGTATTATATACTTCATTCTCTAATTAGATTTCCTACTACTATATTATTATTAGTAGTATTTCCTACTACTATATTATTAAATAAGTTTTTTAATATTATACATTTTCTTCACTAATTAGATTTTCATTTATTGAATTTCAATATTTCCTACTACTATAGTATTAGCATTTTCTTCTCAAATTAGATTTTCTTTTATTGAATTAAATAAATAAGGTTTTTAGTATTATATGTTTCTTTCTCTAATTAGATTTTCTTTTATTGAATTTCAATATTTCTTATTACTACTCCGTATATTATTATTATTATAATTTCTTACTACTATATTATTAAATAAATTAATATATTGAAATTCTTTGTACTTTTAATAAGTATATATAAATTTACAATTTTAATGAATAACTTATCACATATTTGTTTTCTTTCTGGTATATTATTTACTATTTTGCGTTGTCATACTCTTATTTATTTCAACAAAAGAGTTTAGATATAATAATTAGCTTCTATACATTCTTTTAGTAAATAATTAATTTATGTTAGGAATAAGAACAGTGGTCTAGTAATATCTGTTTTAACTCTTTTTTTGACTCCAAGAGTTCCCTAATACCTTGGGGTACACTTGTAATTTTTTAGTACCAAGCAAATATTCCTGATTTTTATAGTTACAAGTTACAGGATTCACTAGTTAAACCATTGATTGATTACATGTTACAAGCTTCGATTGTAAACCTAAGTGATGAACTATAAGCTACACCTTGAAATCAAGTAATGTAAATCTAAGATTACAAATTACACCATGAAGATAAAATTGCAAGCTTAGATTACACAAGAATGTAAAGCTAAGTACAGATGGTTTAGGGTCATATAGACGTAGGAAAAGTAGGTGTGTTGGTGTAGGACCTCATCTTATTATAAATGAGTTTTATTTATAGTGCCGGAGAAATTAGGTTCGCAGTTGGATACGTGCCACTTAGATGGTCGTGATGATCTTACTTTGTAAAGACGATTACTACACGTAATGCGCTATCCTTTGACTGACACAGATGTGACCTTTTAAACGCACCTAAATTGACGAATTAGCATGTTATAAGCATTGGAGTTATTACTTGTTAGTTATTAGTAATCCTATGGGAACTAATATTATACTAATTAGTTCATATGCATTTTTGATATATATAAATATATAATTAATCCCATATTTTTACTTCAAATTTTATGACAAGACTTTTCATATTATACTAATTAGTTCATATGCATTTTTGATATATATAAATATATATAATTAATCCCATATTTTTACTTCAAATTTTATGACAAGACTTTTCACTTTATTACCCCCAATGTCCATCTAACATTCCTATTCTTTTTGAGATAGTAATTTGTAATTGAGATTTTGCACCACTTTTATTTTACCTTACTTTTTTTATTTGTCTTTAGGTAATTTAAAGCTCTTGTATACTAAGTCACGTAGAGCGGGAGCGTCGCTAGAGCGCCACATTATAAATATATAAAATATTAATTTATAATAATAAAATATGTTTTAAATAAATTTCATGCAAATAAAAATACAGAATAGTGAATCAAATATGTACAACCAATATAACCTACTTTATAAAAATGCATAAATTAACAAATATGACAATCAAACAAGCTGCTTTATAAAAATAAAAATATAACAGTGAATAGGGCATAACAGAAAAAGAAATGTTCAAAAGTATTATCTTTTATACATTTAACCTGTTTTAAGCTCTCAAGATGACAATCATTGTCTTTGAAATAGCAATGTTTCAAAGCAAAAGAATCTACTGCTAAACTTTAAAATAGACATGAAATATCCAAACTTCCAAACCCAAAAGTTAATGAAAGTAAATTACGTAAATATTATCTAATGAAGATAAGTTACGTAAGTATTATTAAATATGAAGTATATTATTATATAACTTATATTATTTGATTTTTATCTATAAAGGACATAGTTTACTTAATTAAATTAAATTAATTACTTTTTGACATAATTAACCTTATTTGGTCTATTTAAGTTAGGGGTAAAATCAAAATTTCTCAAGATTCACACTAAATTCGTAAATTTATTGTCGAAAGTAGTCGAATTCTTGAACAAAATACGCGATTTTACCTTACATAATTCATCGAATTAAACTTTAAAAATAGGCGAATTCTTAAATTGAATTCGCGAATTCAAAATTATGAATTTGCAAATTCAAAAACATGAGAGCGTGAATTTTTGGCGAATTCGCTCTCAAAAAGCCAATTCGCGCGCGGAGCGATAGAGCGCCAGTTAGTTGTATAATTCTTTTAAATAAAATATGCATAGCGCATTCACTGTTTTTCCTTCTCTGCCATACAATGTGAAACCAAGCTAATTTAATATAGAAAAAGTCCATTGGAATTTCATGTCTTTTGACTTTTGACTTTCAACTTATAATTTAATCAAAATTCAACTTTAACATATGACTAATCACATGATTTCCGAAGCTTTCACCAAACTGATTAACTGAAAAAAAAAAAAAAAAAAAAAAAATTTGAAGAATTGGAAATGTTTTTGTACCTCTAAAAAGTTGTGGCCTCAAAATTTTGTACAAGTATGAAGAGTTCAATTCTTGGCATTGTAGGGTAGAAAAAAAGGTGAAAGTGAAGTTATTGAAGTCATGCCTTCCACAATGACACTTACCTTTCCATTATTCTAATTGCAATGTAGCTTACTCCAATTTTCTTTCCCTCCGTGAAAGCAATGCCAAATTTTCTTTTTTGCTCATTCCACATTCTTGGCCACCAAACAGAGTTTGTGAAAACTGATGGGAGAAATTGCACTAGACTTTTTATGAACTTCGACTTGTCTGGCTTACTTTAGCAGCCAGTTCATGGCTAGAAAAAAGCCAAGACCTAACTGCAATACAACTTATCTAGTAGGTAAGTGGATATATATCCATTTACCAAAAATAATTAAATAAAGTGGAGATATATATCCTATAATTAGGTGTTAACCTACAAAACGAAGCTGCCACGTGGCAAAAGAAGATTGGGAAAAACTTGTCGGGCCATATGAGCATGTGGCATCTCCGGGCCAGCCCATAAGCTGAAATGAAGAAGGACCAAAGAGAATAAGTTGATGGGCCCACAACACTTGAACCCCATTCAGAGACGCATCTAGCTCATTTATTTATTTTTTTCAAATGAATTCACATGACATGATGAAACTTGATGGAAACACTAAAAGCCTTTGGTCTAGAGGTATAACTTCTCTAATCCTCAAAGAGGAGAGGAAGGGATTGAGTCCAGGCGTGAGCATATAGGATGTGTGTGTTTGCTTTAACATTCCAAAAACACAAAACAAAAACAAAAAAACACCAAAAACTGTATCCAAGTGGTATTGAATACCAGTGGTATAAATTTCTCATCCTCAAAAAGAAGGGAAGGAGTTTGAACCGAACGCGGGCAAAAGGTCCCAAGAAGACTCCTCTCTACCTCTCTCTCAAATCTTTAACATAGAAAATTGGTATATGGTATCGGCGTCCCAGAGTCCTCTTTCCTTGATGATACCACAAACTCTTACCTCATCAATCTACTAATAAAACAAATACCTTACATTCAACTTTAAACTCGAAGTTTTATCTCCTCCTTTCACATGAAAAGTTTAGTGCCAATTCCCCTTAGCCTTAGAACAGTGTGTTTGTGTGTGTGAATTGCATGTCTAACTACCAAAAATAATAGAACAAAACCCTTATTTCCTCTTAATGGCTTGGTAGGAGGGAATCGAAAATGAGGAAGGAAATGGATATTTCCCTCCTTGTCCATCAAAAGTATTTATGAAATAATCATTTCCTTCCTCAGTTCCCCTGTCAGTCTCTCCTTATTCAACCAACCAAACAGAGATTAAGGCCATCTTTCTAGGACAGTTCTATCTTCTACCAGAGTTGTAAAGACAACAAGCAGACAAGCTATTATAACCTTCAACCCCTATCAACTTCATATTTCAAGTTATTCTAATACTAAATAGTTCCTGAATCTAGACTGGTAAGTACCATCAGATTGGATTTACATCATAATAATTTTTTAACCGAAAATAAATTCGACTACAAAGAAAATGCAATTGTCATCCATGGATGACGCACATAGAGAGTCGATTTAATAAATCTCATCAATGCTATTATCTTCGGCCACTTGAGGATTTAACAAGGGCTCCAAGAATAGCACATATAAACATGGTACGGTGAAAAAGGTTACCTACACCTACAACGTAATAACTGATCATTTGTCGCACTTACGTAGATTTTAGGATATTGCCACATACAAAAACAGAGTTATCTGCAGTTTTAGTTTACGTAGTAGGATTAGAGTACACTTTTGGCTTTGGTTTCACTTCAACTTCATTTACACTGCGAACAAAGATAGCATCTGGCTCGTGACTGCAAAATGAACAGGCAACAAGTTAATCGGACACAGAGAGACGGGGATAAATATATATATATATATAGCTAGAGAGAGGACCATTCTAACCTTTTATCTCCCTCTTCGAATGTATAACTGGATGCCACGGCCAGCAGTTGTCCATCTCTGCTGAATGATAAGGCCGCAATGCTTGTTGGGTACTTTGAATACTGCAGGTTGTGGGGGTAATCAGTAAATTGTGCAAGTAACGACAAGAAATATAAGCTATCAAAATCATTTTTGGATATATTTACCTGATACAACCTCTTCTTATTGTTCCCATCCCACATGTTCACATAACCATCGCAACCCCCCGTTGCAAATGTACCATAGCTGCAGACTGGATTTGTAAGTACTCAACAATAGTAAAAGTAGCATGAAAAGAAACCGCCGCAATCATGTTGCTTAAAAAGAAAAGAAAAAAAAGAAAAACATCAAATTGTTACTCAATTGAGCAAGTACAAAATTAACTCAACCATTTCAACTAATAATGAACTATATTCCTCAAGAACCATAACAAGGACACTAATCCAAATGTGCTTATAATAATAAAATGTTAGATGAGACTTGGGTTGGCAAATTCCGTTCAGAAAGTGGACACTGTATTTTTATTTAAGCTTTGATTAGTATTTTTAAAAGTTAGTTTAGTTGTATTAACTCAGTGCAAGGGCAGAATCAAATTCGTATTGTCTTTCACATACACATCATTGCATTAAGAATGGTGGGTGGGTGTATCGAGTGCTGCTCATCATCTAATTTATGAAAAAACTTTTTACTTTAGGCAAATACTTTTGTCATAAAGATAAACCCCTCAATAAGGGCTTTGGCACTAAACAATAAATTAATGTTTGACCCTAAATTCCCACTAAGACGAGAATTTTGAGAACTTGCATAGGGTGAGATGCAATAAATTAATCAAATCTGATCCAAGAAAGACACACTAAACAATAAATTAATGTTTGACCCTAAATTCCCACTTCTAAGACAAGAATTTTGAGAACTTACATAGGGTGAAATGCAATGGCATTTACAGGATAGACAATGTCCCTTCCAGCTTCCGATTTCCGATGACACTTAAATGCATACCTGTACAAACTCAAAACCATCTAGTGAAAAAATTGAAAGAAAAAAAAAAAAAAAAAAAAGGTTGCTGTTTAATAATGCATTTATGCATTCCTTTACGTTCATGCTATAGTGCTCTAACAAGAGAGATTTTTCTCCCCAATCATCTAGTCGAATTCAATTCAATCAGATCACTGACAGAAGAGTGCTGCTTTTATTACACTGGTAAAAGAATTATAATTGCTCTTTTTCAGTTAATGACAGGAGCACACAGCAAGCTAAATGTGGTACTAGTTACTACAGTACATGTATCCAGCAAAATTAAAGGAAAACCTAATAAAAGAGAATTTGGAATGAGGCCTCTTAAAAGCAATGAATAAGAAGGGAAAAAATAAAATAAAATCACTTTGTGCTCATCCATGGTGCAAAGTAATACATACTTTTTGGATTGACCAGTCTCAGACGGATCAAAAAATTCCATTGCGACCCGACCTTCAACAGAACTAAGAGCATAACCTGCACAGAACAAATAGTAAAAAGAATAAAAAAATAAAAATGAAGAGGCGAGAATGCATTGAATAGACAAAATCATCTAATATTAGCTCGATGCTTCGGAATGTGTTAAAGAGATTTTTTCTTCCAGACAAACAGAACTACTGCAGAACCTGTCCTCTTTCTTTCTCCATTAGAACCATATTACATCTTTATCATTAAGCAGGAATCTTTAGCACAAAACATGAATGAGACTAGGAGGAAAGAGATCTGACAATTTCAATCTTTGTTAAGAAATTCCAAAATTTATATTTTTTCTTCCTTTTTTCTGAGAAGTATGGAAGAGAAACTGCAATTTTAGTAGAAGACACCAAAGAGTGATTTGACTACAAATTTGAAATATTTCTTACTGTGACAAAAAAGAAAAAGAAAAAGAAAAGAGCTTGATCGATACCTGTTCCATTGGGATAACATCGTACGCATCTGGTTTGATATTTCAATGAAGATTCCCTTCGTTGCTCAGGTTGAGACATATTCCGCAAATCATAGACATTTACATGCCTTCCTGCAGTTGCAACTACTATACGATTGCCGACAAGAGAGAGAGAATAGACTCGCTCTGGTTGCACAAATGTTCCAATGAGAGTCCTCTCCTGCCCACTTGTGCCTCTAGGGTCCCAACACTTCAGGGTTTTATCCCAACTACCAGTGATCGCTTGTCCTAAAATCACAATGAGATGATAAATGTGTTATTAGCTGAATTTGTTTAAATAGAACAAACATCAACACGTCTGAGAAATTCTACGCACGTGACATCAAGTGGCACTGCTATTAGCTGAATTTGTTTAAATAGAACAAACATCAACACGTCTAAGAAATTCTACGCACGTGACATCAAGTGGCACTGCTATTAAAAGTAGCATCATGAATGATCTGTTTAATTGAAAAAATAGGATTGAGATAATATAATAGTGTACACTGACATAGGATCATAATTCCACGTTATTCAAAGAGAAACAGCATACAACAATGTCCAGCACAAAGTTAAACATAGGGTGAAAGTGTCTCAAAACCATAAATAATTAGAGGATCTTCCATCATAACTAGTGACAAAACTAGTTTCCTCTCTTGACAACAGATGTTTCCCTGAAATGTCCATCTAAGAGATTCTTTTCAAGTGTTAGAATCGCTGATTATTTTCTATTAATAAGTTTTATTTTTTGGTTTATTCCATGGATAACTCACAAATCAATATGGAAAATAGCCGTATGTACCACGAATATAATCCAGACAAGCAATACATTCATAAATCCTTTTCAAAATCAATACAGTTATACTGGATTGATACAAAATGCAAGTCTTATTTCATCATACATGCTTAGTGTTTAATAACATACATAAAAGGATCAAACAACCCCATTGTTGGATATAACATGTTTCATGAATCAATATCTTCGGATTAATAGTACAATATATCTAGCTACATGAACAAGAGCCAGTTTTCTCAGCATAGAAGTAATCAACAACAGGTTTGAACCATAAATAAAAACGAATTACTCAAGCAAAAGCTAGAAGTGCTCATCAGCAGTTCTTAAAACACTTAAGTTAAAGGTATGTCAAGGAAGAAACTTCACATCCAAATCATAAACTTCTGCATAAATTACATTTATAACACCAGAAATGCAGAAACAAGGAAACTGCAACCTAGGACAATCACTTAAAATTTTGAAGTCTATGATAAATGGGGAGAGTACAGTTAAAAACTAAAGAATGCATGCAAAACAAATGAAGGCAATAGATGAACAATCGTAAAATTTCTTCCACAAAATTTTCCAGACTATTAGTTTGATATAGGCCTTCTTATTTATTCCACTACAGATAACGGTGCAAACCAGACAGGAAAAAACCTCAGCAGTATCTAGATGAGTCATACGGAGGTTCTAGTTCCACCTGATTCCATCTAAAATACAATCTAGTAATAGTTTGAAGGACATCATACCTTTTATATTAAACAATATATTTGGTCTAATAATTGTTAATATCAAAACACTAAACTGGGTTACTTCGCGTGAAAAGCGGGACACCTGCAAACAAGGCAAGGAAAGCCCACCCAACCAAATTTAAAACTCAAACTTCCATCTACGACCATGTGTCAACAGTCAGTAAAACTTTTGGACACACATATTCACAATTACCACAAGATTACTGGCTCACCAATGGTCAACATTTTCAAAACACTGATGCATGTCACAGCAAGCTCTCTCAAAGGCCGACGCGCCTCCACAACATGCAAATCTTCATTCCTTGTCCCCAGTCTCTCTTGCCACCATAGCTAGAACATATGAATTTTGCATCTCGGATATGCAGCATTCAGAAATTCCAATTGATCTTCAAAATTTCAAATCACAACCGAAGGTCGTCCACTCCAAGTCAAGAAAACTCTAGATTCCGTACTTCATAAATTCATCACATCTACCACGCCCTTGACTCCCTTGTCACTAAACACAAGCCCAAAAGAGAAAGAAGATCAAACCAGGAACTTCCATAGGAAGTTGACCAAAGAAACCAGGAGAATAAAACTCACGATCATTGAAGCCCCCACAAAAAAAATGATGAGAAACTCCAAGAAGTCTAGATCTTTGCAACTATGATCCATGGCACAAACAGGCGCCAGAAAGCAATTGATTCCAACATCAAGCTCCAAACTAATGAGAGAGCACAAAGAGATGTTAGTGGAGCCAGACCTAAGACCAAGCACTACAATTGAACCTCCAGCAGCCTATAATTTATCTGACATGAAGAATAGGCAAAAAAAAAAATGTCTAAATCACAAATAAATAGTCGAAAGAGAATCAAGAAGAGGAAGACCAAGTGGGGAAGCCCACTCCAAATCTCAATCAAGCAATGGGAAGACAATACCAAAGGAGGACTTAAAAGAGAGATCAATCCTAATCAAAACCTCAACCAAGCCATCACAGCTAAGAAGGACTTAAATATTAGGAAATGATGAGGACGAAGGATGGAAAGAAAATGATGAAAAACGTAAGACACGTGAATTTCTCCCTCTTAAATTCTAGATAGAGAAGCTCCTCTCTTCATTGACAGTACCATAAAACCGATTACTAATAGTACACTTTTGCACAAGTGAAAAACATGTGCCATGGACTACTGCATACTTGTGTATATAACATTGTTTATATATGTGTTCCTTTTTAGTTAGTCTACCGTTGAAATGTTTCAAAATTTAGAGAGCAACAATTGCTCCCACAAACGCTCAACATTGATGCGAACAAGATAATGTGCTTAGTTATTCAGCAGGAGCACTAGCTCCTCATAGTCATTTCAGAGCAGCATAAACAAGAAATAAGTTACCAGAAGAATCAGAAAGCAAGGACTGCAAAATCCAACCTGTTGCATATGAGTATTCAATACAGCGCACTGGTGCATCGTGCCTTCCCAAAATATCTTCCTTGCCTAGGCTAAAAACGAGCCTGAAACATAAACACCGCCAAGTGCAATTGAGCATGATGAAATAATAACTGTGAATATATTTATTGACATTAGCTATAAAGACAGGAAAACATAGATGGAAGCAATTATCATCTTGCATAAATCAAAATCAGTAGCGTCTACTGAAAAAAAAATAATTCAGTTGATACTCATTCCTTGAGTGAGAGAGAGAAAAAAGAGGGGGGGGGGGGGGGGGGGGTTGGTATCAACTAGGATGAAAAGAAGCACAGCTAGACTGAGTAAATAAGAATCATGTATCCAAAACTGGAACGTTCTTAAGCAAAATATGAAATGTCATCCTGGGAACACTACCGGGCATACTACTTTCCCCAAGTACTTTAATGAACTACTGACGCTTACAACTTTTAATTCAATAAATCCCCACATATTGGAACATCAAAGTATAATGAACGCATAAAGGGATTTTTTTTTTTTTGGGGCGGGGGGGGGACTCGTAAAGGGAGAAAAGAAAAGAAAAAAATGGAACAAACAAATCAAATTGAGGAAAAGTTATGACCATTGTTGAGGAGATGCAATTCCAAATTTGCAATCATATGAACTTTCATCTAGAGAACCTACAGTTAACAAGATCATAACAGCTCCCCAAAATGTGAAGCACCATCAACTCAAGCTTATGTTTTAGTGAATTCCATGATGAAACAAGTTAAGATCAAACAGAGAGAAAATCAAGTAGTTTGTCAGCAGAAATACATGCTTTTCCATTTAGGCGTACATACAATGAGAGACAACGTGGTGTAGGACATTGCAGATATGTTCCTACAATTATTGACCCAAACCATTCAATCTTAGGTTCGAAAAAAAAAAATTTGGTTTTAAGTAGTAGAATCTAATAATTAAAATGTAAATTCCTCCCTGTGGCATGAGTGAATATTATATTTAACATAAAAAATGTGAAACCACTATTAAGAAGGCTACAAATTTAAGGATATGCATTAGTACCTGTGAAATGGGTCACGGACTCATTGGCATTAGCCCAATCCTAGGCATATATATACTATATAGAACAAAATCACACAAACTGGGTCAAAAATACGAATCATCACGCATTCCAAATGAAAATAAAACTATTTTCTCACATGAGTGATTTTATACTTCAAAAAAATTTGAGTACCTAATCAGGAACATCACATTTATGTAAATCCCAAATGTGAGGCCTAACACTACTACAGAAACTACCAAATTAAGAGTACTTTTTCCACGCAAAGTTACAAAAACAATGAAGCTTTTATAAAAGATACTCAATGCTTTTCCGCATACGTATTACCATGATCATAAGCTAATCAAACTGACAAACTCGCACATGAAGCAGGTCAACAAACCATAACATATGGATTTGGAAGTTGTCAAAGAAAGGCATAAAATGTTTGGATATCACCAAAAATAAAAAAATGACATAAATTGCAATTTAACAAACAAAATCATTACATTTTCATCATTTTGTGAAAATAAATACCTATTGCATGTCATAAAAAATTAAAAAAAAAAAAAAACTAAAGGTTTGCAGCAGTTACCACATTGTACAGGAACTTATTCACGTTTGGCCAATAGGCTCGTGGTTATACAAGGACATTAAGAGGGAAATAATTTTTCTGCATGTTACATAGGAATGCCATAAACCAATGTTGCTTTCCAACAGATCCTCAATTCTTTCAAGAAATATCTACAGCATTACCAAGAAATATCTCCTAGCAGATTAGAAGTACGAGAAAAAAACATGTAGTAAAACAGATACAAGAAATATCCACAGCATTACCAATTTACCATGGGCCACCAAAAACAGCATCATGAGTGCCTAATTAAAACTGCATCCCAGGTTATTGATATTCTCCATACCCAGCTTCGCAACATGCATAGGCTATATTTTGGCTTAGGTTGCTGGGTTTTAAAAGACTAATTACAAAAGAAAAAGAAAAGAAGAAAAAAAAAAAAAAAAAATGAAATCTAGCTGCTTAGCAACTCCTCTACCTCCCAAAGTGGAAAGTTGTGGTTTCGAGTCCCACATGGGCAAAGTGGTGGGGGAACAAAAACAAACACACACACACACACACACAAAAGTGGTTCGATTTGTCCCTTCTACAAAAACACATGGAACTGAAGACCATTAACATACCACATCAAGCATGTTGACAAAAAAAAAAAAAAAAACCTACAGTAGCACCTTCGGACAGTTAAAAATCAGTTGGTAGTGTTCAATTTGGAGGATCAAGTAATGCAAAATAAAAGACTGAAAAGATGTTTCTCAGGAAATATATATAGAGAGAGAGATAATTATGTATAATCCAACTGTGTGAATGACCTTAGGGGAAAAGGGGGGTTATATAAAGAAAAATCCAAATATTGCTTAAAGGGGTTAAATAGGGCGCAAATTGCTCTTACCTCCTCACAGTAGTATCCGCACAGGCACTGAAACCAGAAGAATCGTCATGAAAGCAACAATCCAAGACAGGACCGCCATGCATGAACTCACCTCTCAATAGATTAGCACCCGCATCGTACAAACGAACACCCTGACAAAATCACAAAATCGCAGTGAATTTCAAATGAATTAAGATATAGAACGAGTAAAACCAACAAATAATACCTTGTCCCAAGAGGAAACGAGGAGGTGATCACTGTGATTGGAGAAGCGAAGGTTCGATATTCCGTCCGACGGCGGATTCGATAGCTCACGTCCGGCGATCTGTGGCACTGTGGCCATGACGTTATCGATGTGGTGTGAACCGAAACTGTAGAGATTGGGGGAGAGTTCGTGGCTATTAGGGTTTCAGCCAGAGAAGAGAGAAGCTGTTCGTGTGTGAGAGAGAGACACACTGAGGATGTTTTGAAATATGGCGGTCAGTGAAATGGAGTGTTTGGTAGAGGTAGAAATGGCGGACTGTAATACAAACTTCTTCTTCAGATGGGAATTTAAATTCAAATGAGGGCCATTTTTTAGGTCATATACAATTCATACGTGTGTGTAATATGTAGGGAGAGAAAGACATGAAGACAGCAATATTTTTCTTTTTCTTTTTCCTTTTCTAAAAAAAAAAAAAAATAGTAAAAATAGTTGCTATCAGACAAAAATTCTTAATTTTAATGTTTATTATAATTTTTAATTACTTTTTATCTCTATAGATTTTTTTTTCTCACTTTTTATTGTTTTTACTTAATTATGAATCAAATATCTTTATTATTTTGTTCTCTTGTCAATTTTTTTATTTATCTGCTCTCCTTTTTCTCTTACTTTTAATAATTTATATTTAAAATTTATAACAAAAAATACATCTCTTAACAAATCAAGTTATCGAACATATTTATAATAAAATTGTAAAATTTAAATCTCATATAATCAATCAAATTATCACGTTGAACTGGATGGATATGGCCCGGCTTGGAATGAAACTCCCAAAACAGTTTTATGTTTTGGGAGTTACAAAAAACAGAAAACAGGTATTTCAATCCTACTTAAGCCTATTTTTGAAAAACAGTTTTTATAAAAACTGAGTTTTCATAGTGTTGGATTTTAGAGAACAACTTAAGGTTGTTTTTAGAATTTTCAGAACTGTTGAGGGACTCTAAAAGAAAACACGGAGAACACTTTCGCCGCTTAAAAATTAACACTAACCCTCGTATCGTTTATAACATTGTAACGGTACAGCATCCATCTTCTCTCTCTTCAACCTCTCTACATGATCTTGTATCGTTTATAACATTGTAACGGTACAGCATCCATCTTCTCTCTCTTCAACCTCTCTACATGATCTTGTTTATAACGTTAAATTAGGATTTTGACCTTTTATCTCCAGATTCTCCTCCTTTCTGAAGAGCCCTCAGATTTCTTCAAGCCAAATATGCACTTTTCTCCTCACAATCAAGATAGATTTAGTTAAAACCTCGCTGGCTAAATATGTGAGAGCATCTCCAATGAGCTATCCGAATTTGCTACATCAGCTTTTTTCAATAACCACGTCAGTATTTTCCATAGTCACGTCAGCATTTTAGAGTCTCCAAATTTTAGCTATCGGATGTACTCCAATGTTGCATTTTCGCTCTCCAAAAATATTAATATTTTTTAAATTTTTAATAAATTTTATTTTTTAACTTTTTCCTAACGGCTATATTTTTAAAACGGTTATATCATATAAAAAATTTATACAATATAATATTTATTATGAATTATAAACATAAAAAAACAATACAATACGACATGAATTTTAAAAAGTGCCTAAAACAGCTATAATATTAGTCGGAATATTTTAAAAAGTAAATAAATAAATAAAAAAACACTTTTCTCCATTTTTTTAAACTTGACACAAATAGTGCCTTAACAGTTCTTTGGTTAAATTTTTTTTAGGAAAAAAAAAAAAAAAAAAAGACCAAAAGAAGCCAAAAATCTCTTTTTTAGCTTTTCTTTTTTTTTTTTCAGGCAAACATGTCATTGGAAACGGTGTTCTGGACTAAAACATTGGCCAGAATTATAAAATTAAAACAAAACTGAGGCGGGCCCACATGGCATGCCCGTGGCTAGCTAAGAGGGTCACAGTATTCCACCACGAATGAGGCTCAATTTTTGGCGATGCTATTGGAGCAGTTTAATAACAAAAAAACGGCTCAGAATTAAATTATGGGCCGTTGGAGCTGCTCTGAATGATGGGTGTAAAATGACAAATTTACCCTTAATTTATTTTAGTACTTAATAAAGTTATAAAAAAATAATGAATTACTGTGTTTTTCCCGCTCTTGCATTTTGTTTGCGTTTTGTATTAATTTCACTCTGTGTAAAACTGTTCTCTTTAAGGAGGAAGTGCCAGCGACAGTCACTGCTAGCATTCCTCTTTAAATTGTACGAATGCACAAATTCGTATTATTTTTTCCACTTTCTTTGTTTTTTCCTTGCTCTCTCGAAAACTCTCTTATTTGCCTATAAGAAAATGAGTGTCTGTTTGTTTATTCATTTGAAGAAGTTATATTCAAAAACTCTCTTATTTCCCTGTAAGATTCCAACTCTACAAGGAAGGTCAGATTGATTTTTCAAAATATTTTCCAAACCTAAGAGAAATCATTGTAATTAGACCCCTTTTTTTTTTTTTCTTAAATAATTTTTTAGTCATTTTTATGTCTATTTATTTATTCATTTTGTTTATTTGCATTAATTAATTACCAACAACTTAACCTTAGCTCTGTATGCATTCATATTGGTTGAACATGTCCAACATCTTCGAGTCAGACTCTAATGTGTTTGGTTGAATCCAGAGGTGGCCGTGAGATTTTCAACATTTTGGTAGGTCTTAGGCGAACTTTCAAACGCGAGCTCTTTTATACATAAGGTTTCACACGTGCAAAAAACTTATGAGTGTGAAATTTTCATTAAAATGAGACAGACGGTAACCATATAAGATAGATTCACATGTAGTGTTTTCAATTTTTACAAGCAATACAATTAACCAGAACTTAACACACAACAATATACTTGTGTGTTTGAACATTGTTTACAAGACAACTAACTAAAAATTATAAATCTATCATTACCAACAAATAATTGTGCGCTTATGCAATGTACATAAGATAATTAACAAATAACAATAAATCTATTATCACTAACAAATAATTGTGTGCCTCTACGATGTGCATTATTCAATATTATTATAAAAAATAAATCAAATAGAGCAAGATAAAATAAAAATAAAAAACCAAGAATAATTAGATGGATTACGTGTACCGTGATTGTAAAATCTACGAGCTTAGGATATGATTTCCAAGACAACACTTCCTGCATGCCTTCCTACATAAAATTCAAATCATAATATATAGAAAACAACCAAATAACGCTATAATCTTAATAACACGCATACAACCAAAATGTTTTCAAATGTGTTTTTAAAACAAAAGCCACAAGTTAAATTATCACCAAAAATCAATAAAGCTTCAACTCAACCTCTTAGGGTCTCCTCACAAGAATTCCATAAATCTCTTTATATCTACGACAGCGTGTCATAGTGTATTAAGGGTTTGCCAAAACTCATTGCTAAAAATTTAAAAAGGGGGATTATCTGGTTTCAGCAGTTTGCTATTTTACATTTTGTTTTTTCTCTTTCATTTTGCTGTTAATCATACTCAAAGGCTTATTTGATAATATTTCATTAAATAAATTGCAAGTACTTAGCAAGAAAGAAGGAAAAGAAGCATCGATTTAATTGCAACAACTATGATTTATGTAGAGTTACTAAAAATTTTATAACTTGATCATGGTGTCACACATAATATGGACTCAGAATTTTTACTTCCAAATTAATAATATCATGATTTGACTAAACAACAAATGTGTAGATTCTTGCATTCGTAGAAGTAAACTTAAAAAACTTTTATCCAATATAACCATTCCTTTTTTGCATTTAATTAAAATCCAAACACATCCAAAAACAAACTTCAAATCGAAATAACTCTCTGATCAAACCTGATGGCTCTTCGTTTGGATACACAAGAGAGAAAATAAAAGAAAGGATTAGGAGAGAAAAGAAAAAAAAGGAAATGATAGTTATAATTTATATTCATGTTTGGATAAATAGGAGAGAAAAGAAAAGAAAACATAATATTATTGTTTGTAATCAAATTATTGTATTACCCTTTTGTATCTAATGTAGATAAAATAGCTTGTTTTAAAAGCTTGAATTACTTGTAATTTGGAAAGCTTGAATTACCCTTTTGAATTATATAAAATCCTTATAATTTATTGGCCTTCCATCCCATAAGTCGTTGCTTCAACTTCAAGCTGAGCGAATTTTGTGTGTTCAAAAATTAGCAGCTCAGTCTGTAAATGATGGTGAGCTTCATCTTGCAGTTTCTGAGAGTTCATACCTCATTAAATCTGCTATCATATTCTTAATTATTGGGTTATATGCAGGTTCAGCTGGTTTGGTGCCGATATATTTGTACATAATGACTAACCCATTTACTGATGATGACATAAGTTTTTTTGAAAGTCATAAATATTTTGGCCTTGAAGCTGATCCAGTAAGATACACACGCGCACACACACATATATTTCTTTGTTTTTTTTTATTTAGTTCTTGATTTTGGGGTAGCTCACCTATGAATACATTTTTAATGCAGGTCACCTTCTTTCGGCAGAGCACCATACCTTGTGTTTCAAACGATGGTAGATTTGTCATGGAGATTCCATACAAAGTAGGGTTTGTTCTTATAATTCGTGATTAATTTTGTTGTATGGTTGGCTATAAATGTTTACATTCGCATTCATCTCAGGAGTCTTTATCCCAAAAACACATTCTCATGTAAGACATGCTGAACCTGTGCTTTTGAAAATTGTGGTAATATTTATATTCCACTAGGTTATTACCATTTTAGCTAACATTCGGAATTTGATATATAGGCCAACAGCCTACTACTAAAGCTTTTGCATAATCATTTGGGTGAAAGATTTTATATGCTGAATTTGAGAGGGTAGCACATGCTAGGAAAATCTGTTGTTAGTTTTGGCATTTAATAAACCCCTGTTGTAGTGAGAGGTAATTAACAAAATTATAGTTTCCATTGCTAAATATGCTTTGGAACTTTCAGAAACCATCTGTAATCTTATAGAAATCAGAGGCAATTTGCACCCAGATTATGACAAATATAGAATACTTACTATGGAATGATTAAAAGTCAATAATATCTATTTAAATTCAAAGAGTATACTCAAGACAACCAAAGCAACTAGTAACATTAGAGATTCCTTGAGGTCTATACGCCAATAGTTTGGGTAATAGATGTCATCTACTAACACTTCAGTAGTAGATGGAAATAATTTTGAACTCTCTAATTTGAGAGGGTAGCACATGCGAAGCCGGAGCTAGAAAAGAGTCGAAACCGGAGAAGATAGACGCGAGAGAAGAGGAGATAGAGAAATAGCGATTCTGATTTACAGATGCAAGAGAAGTGGAGATAGAGAAGTTGCACCTTAATATTATTGACCTAAAACTTAATAAAAATTTTACTTACTATCCCTCCAAATCCTTTATTTTCTCTTTTATTTTTTCCATCCAAATACACTTAATATTATTCTTCCTTTTATTTTCTCTTCAAATCCCTCTATATCCCTCGATCCAAATGAAGCCGCAGAGATTTGTGGAACATGAAATAGTGATCAATCCACTTGCCATCAATCCGGGTCTTATTCGGGTCGGGTCGTTCTTATGTAAAGGGAGCAAAACGAAATAACACGATGGGTATGAAAAAGTGCCTGAGACCTTGTCATCGTTCTATACAGATCTCTCTCCATCTCTTTCCTCGTTCACCGATTCATCTAAAACCCTAAATTTCACAGCAAATCCACACTCAGATTTCTATATAGTCCCAACTGTAAATAACTTTCTGAAATTTCAATCTTAAATTCATCAATTCTGTAACCACTCCAGCCAATGCGATGGTGGTCTGCAAATGCCGCAAGGTACGCCCTTTCTCTCTCTCTATATATATATACACACACACACGCATGTTTTATGTATCCATAGATCACTTGGTTATTAGCTTGCAATTTGATTTCTCTATGCTGTGGACCACTTTATGGTTTGTACAGTAAAGAGGTTTAAGATCGGATCAAGCTCACAATTTAAAATCCGAGCTGTCTCTGAATTTGTTGATGTAAAGGTTTTAATTTGGTAGAAATGGGTGATCCGTGAACCTTGATTCAACGAATGGAAAAAAAAAAAAAAAGAAAAAAAAAAAGATAATGAATGAAATGAACAAAACAAATGAAAGATAAATGAATTTGTGCACAAACTTGTAGACTATGTTACATTATTACGTTGTTATGTTATAAATTGCTGCCATTGCCCGTCATTACAGCTGTTTGTAGCTCATTGATTTGCGAAATCGATTGAAGTTAATATGAATGTCTGTATTTGAATTATCAACTTGAATTTGAAGTTGGAAGTTTTTATTAAGAGCTAGTGCTTTGAATTACTTCTTTATGATATTAAATGTGAAGACTAATTTATGTGGAGGTTTTGGGTCTCAGGCAACTAAGTTATACTGTTTCGTGCACAAGGTCCCTGTTTGTGGAGAATGCATATGTTTCCCGGAGCACCAAATATGCGTGGTATGACATTTAAATATATGTTTGTTTGATTCTTGTCTTCTATTTCATATGCTAACATCTGGAAGATGGTCTTATTGCAATTGGTCATATTATATAAGATGAGTAACTATTGATTGACTTTTTTTTTTTCTATATCATAACAATGGTGTTTGTTCCATCTTGGGTTTGAATTTAATATCTTATTTTATTATGTTTGGGCCTACTTGGGTGCAATGCCTTGTGACTCCTGTTAATGCTTACATGCAATATTTGGTCATATTTTTTGTTGTAACTACTTTTGGGTTGAGTTTTTTGTTTCAAACTACGTGCTTATTGTGTCACAATGTGTTTGATTACAAATGCTGATGCTTTTCTTTTTCTTGGGAAGATGAAAATGCTGATTGTTTTCTAATTCTTTGTTAATATACTGATTTGGAGAACATGAAAGACTAATTAAGTTTGCGTCATTAACGTTATTTGCAAGAGTTTTATTTTCAGATTAAGGAAAGTGTTACACAATGGATGATTTAAAGAATTCGAGAAACGTCTTGTAATAATGAAAGTTAATAAAATAATGACAGTTAAGAACCCTTTCTATGTCAGATAAAGACTGACTAATTGTGATTTGACTCTCTCTCTCTGTCTAATCTCGTAACAAATGTTTACTCCTTAGATAATTTGAAATATCAAGCATGGTTTATTGAGCAGTGGGTTTTTTTAACACTTTTATCTTTAAAAGCAACTGTCCTTTTAAGCCAGGGTTGCTCTAGTGTCATTGAAATGATAGCAAACCCAAGCTAAGCTTATGATCTGATACAAAAGAACCTGAGTTGCTTATTTTTTTAAATGAGTTCACGTTGTTATGAAAAAGGAGCAGGGAGGGAGGGAGGGAGAAAATAAATGGGCAGAGAGAGGGAAAGAGAAATGGAGAGAGTATAGAGAGAAAAAGAATGTAAAGAGAGTTAATTGGGTCAAAATAATTGATCCAAAACAGTTATGTTCTGGTAGATTGTGATCCATTGGCATTATAGGTAGCTAAAAGGATATATTCATTAGGTAAAATATAAGTCACATGCAATGCATATGCGTACCGACATACAAACAACATGAGGGTAATTGCAGCGTTTTGAGAAACTTTAAGATTTTCTACAGAAATTAATAGTACATGGAAAAATTGACAATTCAAGGGTTTTATTTTTTTTTGCATTTTTGCCCTAGATTTAAACCATCAACTGAGTGACTAGTCTCTATGATTGCACGGATGCTTTTCAGAAAATTGAGAAACTCATGGTAGTAAATCAATCTCCGTAATTAGATATTGATGGGAATAGATCCATTTCCATCCCTGAAATGTAATGGGAATAGATCCATCTCCTAATGATTGAACTCATCACAAGGTGGACTAGTCCTTGGAAGGTAATTTCATAGGTGCTCTTTAGAGCTTTAAGGACTATATGCTCTTCCCAAGGGGTTTTTATTTAGAATGAATCGATCTTTGATACATAGCAAGATGTTTTAGGAATGCAGTAACTCCAGTGGGTGATTTTGTTCAAATTGGATTTTGAGAAGACTTATGGCCATGTGGATTGTGTGTTCCTTCAGTTTGTCCTGAATATGGATTTTTTTTTTTTTTTTTTTTTTTTTTTTTTGATAAGTAAATTGTAATAGAAGGCGTTCAAAAGGGGAACGCGTCCCAAGGACTGTACAAGACGAAAAAGAGAGAAGAAAATGAGATCTATGGACCTAACAACCCCAAAAAGTCCATAATAGCATCCAAAGAAATACAATCTCTCCCCATACCCCAACTAAAGCCCCAATGGAAGTCCCCTCCAACATCAAAAGATCTTTGATTGCGTTCTTTCCACAAACTCATCCAAATACAAAGGGGAATCACCCTCCAGAAATTACGAGTGCGCGCTCCCACCCTTTGGCCCCTCCAACCATCAATCAAATCCCTTAAGGTCCGGGGCATAACCCATTGAACTCCAAAGAGACCCAACAAAAGGCTCCAGCAGTCGTGAGCAACGGGACAATGCAAGAGAAGATGATCCACGGATTCTCCATCATTCATGCACATACAACACCGGTTAACGATAACATGTTGTCTCTTCCTCAAATTGTCAAGAGTCAAGATCTTACCCCAAACAACAGTCCACACAAAGAAAGCCACCCTAAGAGGAGCCATCGAGCGCCAGACCGTTTTCCACGGGAAGGTGGATCCATGAAAATCTGAAGCTGGTGAAAATAGGACCGGACTTGGAACTTTCCCTAAGGAAAAAGCACCCAAGTCAGTGAGTCCGGCCCGGTGCCATCCATCTCCTGTCTATACAGAAGGTCCAACAAACCAATGACATCATCCAACTCCCAATCCTGAAAGGAGCGTCAGAACTGAACATCCCAAGACAACCTACCGCTATCAAGACGATAGCAGTCAGCAACCGTAGCATGTCTATCAACAACAATCCTGAACAACCTCGGGTACAGATGAGACAAAGGACGGTCCTCGCACTAAGCATCCTCCCAAAACCGGATATCCCTTCCTTCCCGGACTCTGAATCTAATATGCTTTGAGAAATCATCCCAACCTCTCCCAGTGGATTTCCAAACCCCCACATCGACAGGCGACCTAACCGGTCTAGCTAACCATCCCCCCCTCCTCTCCAAACCGACAAGAAACAACCTTCCTCTATAGACTATGTTGTTCACTGCCGAACCTCCAAAGCCACTTGCCTAGGAGGGCCCTATTGAAAGGGGCTAATCTCCTAATCCTTAGGCCTCCCAACTTAAGGGGCCTGCAAACCTGCTCCCATCGAACGAGATGATACTCAAACTTCTTACCTCTACCGCCTCATAAGAAATTCCGTTGGAGCATCTCAAGTCTTCCAATAACAGTAGAGGGGATCTGGAAGAGCGACGAGAAAATAGTTGGGAGACTAGATAAAGTACTCTTCACCATAGTAACTTTTCCCCCCTTTGAAAGGTATTGCTTTTTCCACCCTGCCAGGCTTTTCTCGAAACGCTCAATCACCGGGTCCCAGCTTCCCACCCTTCTTGTCGAGACACCCAAAGGCAAGCCTAAATAAGAAATAGGAAAGGAGCTCGTCCTACACCCTAAGACAGCTGCGAGAGACTCCATCTCTTAAATATCCCCCACAGGGACAATAACACTCTTTCCCACGTTGACTTTCAGCCCAGAGACTGCCTGAAAACAAACAAGGACACAACGCAAGTATCTCAACTGGGACTCCTCAGCCTCACAAAAAACCAGAGTGTCATTCGCTAAAAGCAAATGAGAAATTTCCAAGTGATGAGCTGCGTCAGAACCAATCTTGAAGCCCCGAATAAACCCCAAGTCCATAGCTCTCCTCATCAACCTACTAAGAGCCTCCATGCCAATAATGAACAGGAAAAAAGAGAGAGGGTCCCCTTGCCTCAAACCACGGGAGCTGCCAAAAAACCCGGATGGTGACCCATTGACCAACATCGAGAATCTGACAGACGAGACGCAAGTAACAATCCATCGCCTCCATTTCTCTCCGAAACCCATCCTCTCTAACAGATAAAACAGAAAATTCCAATAAACATGATCATAAGCTTTCTCAATGTCCAGTTTGCACAAAACACTCGGAATCCCACTACTGAGCCTGAAATCATAAACATTCACTGGCAATAGGGGTGGAATCCAAAATCTGTCTACCCCCAACAAACGCATTCTAAGAATCAGAGATGACGCTATCCAAAACCCCCTTCAAACGAAGCGCAAAGACTTTAGCAATCAGCTTATACATACACCTAATCAGACTAATGGGTCTAAAGTCCTTAACGTCAGTTGCCCCTCCCTTCTTTGGGATGAGAGCAATAAAAGAAGTATTCAACGACTTTTCGAACCTCCCATTAGAATGGAACTCATGAAAAGTTCCCATAACCTCCTAACGAACCACCTCCCAACTCTCCAGAAGGAACCTCATAGTAAAACCATCCGGACCTGGGGCTTTGTCACCCTTACAACTCCTCAGCGCCAAAAGAACCTTCTCCTCCGTAAAGGGTCTCTCAAGCTCTTTTTTATCCTCCACTGAGATAGACTCAAAATGAAGACCATCAAGACGTGGCCTCCAACGAAGAGGCTCAGTGTACAACCTCTGATAAAAAGAAACAATCCCCGTACGCACTTCCTCCTCAGAGCTCAACATTGTTCCGTCCACACACATCCGCCCAATATGATTGCCCCTCCTATGAGCATTAGCGGTGCGATGAAAGAACTTAGTATTACAGTCACCTTCCTTAAGCCACAAAGCCCGAAATTTTTGTCGCCACGAGATTTCCTCCAAAATCGCAATTTTGCCACATTCAGCCTGACAATTGCTCTCCTGTTACGTTGAGACTCAACATGACCACTCACTGCTTCCAATCTGTCTAACTCTGCAATGTCAGCGAGGGCTCTATTCTTCCTCCATTCCAGATTACCAAAGACCTCCTCATTCCATGTTTTGAGCTTATCTTTTAAAAGGCGAAGCTTCCCTGCGAAAATGAAACTCGAAGTTCCCACAACCATATCCTCCTCCCACCAAGACCGCACCAACCCCTAAAAATCCACCGCTCTAAGCCACATATTCTCAAATTTGAACGGGGTATGACGTGAACACAACCCTCCACAGTCCAAAATCAAAGGAATATGATCCGACATGACTCTAGTCAGAGCGGCTTGAGCAGCATCCAGAAACTTCTCCTCCCACTCTCCAGAGAGCAAAGATCTATCCAGATGGGAAAAGGTAGGCGTCTCCCTCCCACTGGACCAAGTAAAAGAAACACCCTCCAATGGAAGATCAATAAGCTGATGACCATCAATAAGCTCCGAAAAAAGAACCATGGCCTGGGTCCATGCACCCCCAGTAGATCTCTCAGACGGGGATCTCACCACATTAAAATCTCCTGCCACGCACCAAGGAAAAGTCCACCTCCCCTTCACCCCACTAAGCTCCTCCCACAAAATTGGCCTATCGCAGTCATCCATCGGCCCATACACACCAGAAAAGACCCAAGAGAAGTCGTCCTCCTCCATCTTGAAAATACAAGACAAAGAAAAGTGCCCCCTGCAAACATCCACCTTTGCCATCCATCTCCTATCCCACATGAGAAGAATTCCTCCAGAAGTCCCAACTGAATTCAAGGTCTCCCACTCCACGAACTTATTTCCCCAAAGACTCTTAACCACACGGTCAGTCATAGATTTGATCTTCGATTCTTGAAGACACACCAAATGGACCCCCCATTTTCTCACAGCCATCTTCACCACCTTCCTCTTGCCCAGGTCATTGAGACCACGAACATTCCAAGATAAGATTCGTAGCTTTATGGAAAAACAGAATCCCCCACCTCCCCCAAACTCCTCCCCCCCTCCTTAACACGCCCTCCTTCCACCTCCCCCACGAGCGTCCTATCATAATTCACATCAGAACAAAGGTTTCTCAACTCCCTCTCCCCTCTCCAAGGAGAATGAACCTTCTTCTTTCTATTCCTCCTCCTAGAAAACTGGATCATCTCCCCTTCCTTCCCCTCCACCGTGGCCTGAAGAATTGCTAAGGCCTGATCCCGATTATCATTACAAGAGACCTTCAACAAATCACTGGTGACACCGATATTTTCCAAAACCCACTCCTTGCCTAAGTCGCCATACTCCTGTCTATCAACATTACAATCCAGAACCTCCGGATGCACAACCGTCAGGGGGTCAACAATCCACAAATTAGAGTGACACTCCTCCTCCCACAAAATCATGTCAAGGGGCCTACCTTCGTCATCCCTACTCCCTCCCTCATCACCTCCCCCAGCCTCCTCTGCCTCGTCAAAACAAGACTTCCAGTCCTTAGAATTGTCCACCCCACCTTCATGAACAGCAGTGAAAGTGTCTGGATCAACTGTAGGGAAATCATTCTGATGCCTGTGTTTCTGCAATTCCTTGATTAACAGAGAATTGGTGATCTTGGATTAGGATATGCTTGTTTTTTTGTGAATTTTGTGCTATTGTTTATGGTGAGCATAGAGGTTGGTTTAGGGCTTCTAGATGCTTTCAGGGGGAACCCATATTCCTCTAATTGTGGTTGTTTATGTTCTTTCTTAGTAGGTTTTACTCTGCAGTTGAAATTGTGGATGTTATTGAGGGTTTTGTCCTGGGTAAGAAAAGAATTAAGGTTTGTCTCTTATTAATTGTGGATGCGATTGAGGGTTTTGTTATTGGTTGGAAAAGATCTAACTTTTCTCTTAATATTAGGTTATTCCTTTTTGCTCCCATGATAAATGAAACTTCATCTCAATAAATTACATAAGTTGAAATGTTACAAAAAGGCACTTACTGGGAGAAAGAAATATTAAGAAGACGTACATCATCAGTGAACCAGTCCTGCCTAGGGCCCTAGGTAGAATGTTGAAATGGGAAGATGGGAAGCAAACTGAACCTTCACAAAGTGGCTGCTTCATGAATCATGACTTGAATCTGCATCCTCACACTCACCAGCTCGAGCTTTGCCATTGGATCAAGCAACGACCTGCTAGTAAAATATTAATTTTTTTTAAAAAAATATACCCCATTATCCACCACTCTGAAGCGAACTTTTTGAACTCAATGAACTGAAATTTGAGAAATTTGGAAGTGAGTAGAGAAATCAAACAGGGGCAAGGAAGACATGCATAGTGCAAGACAATATATTTAGCATACTGAATAAAAAATTTTAGTGATGATTTTAATGTGTTTTTGTGTGTGCGCGCATGCTCATGCCACAGTTTGTGCTTGTGTTGCCCCTCAGCTTCTCAATAAATATTGTTAAGGTGAAATTTTTAGTTTTGCCACATGATCCAATATTCCCGAATTTGAAGGTAACTTGCCAAAATGAAAGTGTGAGAGAGATCATGTAGGGACAAGGAGCACATGCATGGCACAAGACGATATTTCTAGCTTTGCGAAAGAGAAATCTTCATAAACTATGTTCATGTGTTTTTGAGAGTGCTAGTGTGCTCCTGCCAGAGTTTGTGCTTGTGTTCTCTCTATTTACTCAGCAGCATGTACAAATGATGCAGTTGCTGCTTACTCATTTTATCAAGACCATGGAAGCATGGAGTGAATTTTCATAAATGGGTTGTTTTTAGAATTTAGGTTTCCTAACCTGTTCACAGTTACTTTAGAATTCTGAGATTGATGTCATTCAAATGTAACTATGGCGATTTTTATGTCATTTGTCTCTTGTAACTATTTCTAATGGTTTGATTTGGTTCCTATGTATTCTCATTTTGTGAACTCGCACACCGTGTAAGTATCTCAACAATGGTGTATTTGGTTTAGATTTTTTGGAAGTGATTGGTATTTTGCTTTTATTTCCAGATTTCTTAAAATGGAAATGCTAAACAGTTTGAAAAGAAGTTCAGTTTTAAGTTGGTTTTTTATTTTTTTTAAATTTTTATGGACCCAGTTGCCCACTTTTCACGAAATTTTTTCAAATTAGTTATTACAACTGGTGTATAGTCTTTTCGGATTTTCTGTTTATGAAAACTGAAAAACAGTTTTCAGGAATGAAATGTGACAGAGCCTTGAAGACATCATATCTTTTTGTTAGTGATTTCCTTTTGGCATTGATTATTAACTGTTACATTTTCCTTTTTGTGTTCTCTTTTTGGTGTTTGCTTTGTTGGGTCCGTTTGTACTTCAAGTTTCTTACTTATTTGGTAGGATTCCCTAGAAAGGCATCAGTACTGGTTAGTTGTGTATGGCTATTTTAACTTTACATAGGATTATCTGTATTATTTTCTTGATAAGATATCTGTATCTTGTGCACATGCATATGCTGCATTTGAAGTTTAACTTTATTAAATGATATCTTGTTGGCCAGATAGGATTTTGATCTATTTGGGTTATGCTTACTTATATTGTCAAATTTCATAGGTTCGTACTTACTCAGAATGGGTTATAGATGGAGAGTATGATTGGCCTCCTAAATGCTGCCAGTGTCGTGCTGTGCTAGAAGAGGAGTCTGATTCTCAAACTACTCGATTGGGTTGCTTGCGTATGTGATTCTGTGATATATATTTAAATTTTTTAAATGCAATTTTTTTTATTATTATTATTAATTTTATGTTTTTTAGAAATGAAATCCTGTTGAAGTCACACTGCAAAACTTACGTTTCTTTTTTGCTCATTTCAGATATTATACATACAAATTGCTTAGTCTCACATATTAAAAGTTTTCCGCCACACACTGCGCCAGCTGGATATGTGTGTCCTGACTGTTCCACTTCGGTAAGATTTATTTCCAGAAGCTATAAACAGTCTCACATCTATAATTGGGTTCTTTTGGTTAACACCTTTCAGGATGTTGTAGTTCTCAATTCTCATCAGTGTTTCAGATGTCGAATTAAAGTGTACATAAACACATCTTGTTTTTCACAAATTACCATTAGCAAATGATGATTTCTCAATTTGATTAGTGATTGTGGTGAACGGGGCTTTAAAGAAAAAGAAAAAACTCAGAAAAACGTAAACATGCACTAAACTGCTTTACGTTACTGGAGTACAATTTGCTAGTGACAGATATAGAGAAGATGTGATTAGTTATTAGTTAAGGTTTAACTTGAAGTGTTATTTTTGTGCAAGGCTTGTTTATAGATATACGGATTATTTTATACCTGTTATTTGGAGTTCTAGGGATTGGTAGAAAGGACCAACAGTTATAGTCTTGTGTACTTACTCACTTCCTAGAACATTATGCTTTTGGACTTCGTGTTGTAGAGTTACTGAGTTGTTTTGATTAAAGATTGTGGTCCAAGAGCTTTAATTGTAGGAACTTTGACTATTGAAACAAGAGAATAGCAGGAGTAGGAGCCTATGATAAGTTCTGTGCGCAAGTAGCTGAGTAAAAATGTCTAGTTTTCTACTCATTAATAACGAGGAAATGGTTATTTTTTCTTGTCAAAAAATGAGGCAGGAAACTAGTTAATATTAGGATTTTTATTGTTTTCTTATGATAGATCTGAAGGAAACAATTGTTTTCACCCCTCCCACTCTCAAACCACCTATGGTTAAAAAAAAGGGTAACTTTTTTGCTTGTGAAACAACTTGGAGTTTTTTATGATAGCTTGACTTTTGCTATAATCAATTAAGATGGTTTTAGCATTGTGGAATATAAAGAGAATGCTAACTCACCATGGAATATAAAGATAATATTGAGTCCTGCAACTTAAAGGTGGAACTTAGCTTGGATTGGTTTTCCTGGTATTGAGCCTGATCCTAGTCATGAACTGTTTCACATTCCAAGAACCAAAATGACATTGAACTTCTCAATCCAAAAAACAACTTTTGCTAGAGTGAGTTCTTCTGTTCTGTTTGGGATGGTTTACATTTGGTCTAGCTTATTGATAATACATACAGAACAAGGTGTAATCTAACTTGATCCTGACATTCAAAAGGCTTAACCCTGGAAAGCTTCAGTATGCATGGCATAGCCCTCATTATCCTTTATTAACTTGATGGATGAATTCAAACCACTTATTGCAATCAATGAATTAATAGTAGAGAAGAACCGAGGAAGTCATCGTAAATTGTGATTGGTTTTAGTGACCTCAATTCTTTTGACATTTACTAGGAAAATCAGAATCCTTTGGGATATGCATTATAATAAGTACTCGCGGGAATATGGTGTTGATTTAGAAGTTGTTTTGGCTGTGTTTATTGCATTGAGTAGTTTGTTTTAAATGCTGCTTTGTTGTTGCAGGTATGGCCTCCAAAAATTGTCAAAGATTCAGGATCCCGTCTTCATTCGAAGCTGAAGGAGGCAATTATGCTGGTAATTCTGATGCTTTGCTCTAAACTTGCTGGAATGAATTTGTTACTCTATGACACTATTTGACATATATATATATATATTTTCCCCCTTAAAAATCTTTTTCCATCATACCGCACAAGTTTCACCACATATAATAAATAAGGTATAACAAATCGTCTCTGTTATTGGTCTTATTTTTGAAAGTTGCGGTCCTTATAGTGCGGTGATTTTTTCCATCTTCTTTGATGGATGAATAAAAACACGAAGGAGAAGGATCCTTGTACATTTTCTTATTTCCCTCTTTAGCAATGGTATAGATGAGGTGACTTTGGAGGTACTTTCATCTGTTTAAGTGATTCTGTCAGTAAATATATGAGAATTCATTAAGTGAGGAATTTAGATATGAGGAGACATAATCTAAAGTTGGTACTCTCATACAAGCGTATACAAAGAAAACATTTTGGGCATGTTTGTAGCCAAAGTTATTTTGTCCAACCTATAGGGTCCTATATGTGGTGCAGATTATAATGCAACAGAGAGACAAATTAAATGAACCAGGCCAAGCAAGCATGTGGCTACATATAGGTTGATACAAGTGCTGCAATTGAACCAGGCGAAGGGAAGCCTGGCATTGTGTTTATGCATTATACATGAAAGCTAGAGTCAATGGTCTTGATAATTAATATCCCTGTGACATTATATACCGTGTTTCCATGTTTCTGTTGTGCAGACTGGTCTGGAGAAGAACTTATTTGGGAACCATCCAGTTTCATTGCCAGCTACAGAATCCCGTGGTCCTCCTCCTGCTTTTTCTTCAGATCCACTGATGCATGCATCTGCAACTGGAGGGAGAGAGTATAATGCAAGCTTGTCATCTTCAGTAGCTAAAGATTCTGAAGGTTACTCGGCTGCAGCTGGAACAGGGCCTACTAATTCTTCATTCACAGATATTGTGGAGATAGATGGTCCTAACTCGGCAAGTCCATCCCTGTCTAATCATGAGTCCAGTTTCGTGAAAAATGCAAGTCCTGCTGGTGTAAGAAGATTCTCTTGTTAATCATTGCATGTAAATTGGGATGTATTGGTCATTTCTTTTCCTTACGACATGTATATACTGATTTAGCATGTTTGTGAATGCACATTTGTCTGGTGTGTATTTTCTAGTTTCTAGTTTGGTGTCTTATATATCCTCTTTATAAAAAAATTGCAACAATATGCAGGCTGGTGCTACAACGCGAAAGACTGCTTTCCAAGTTGATAGGCAAAACTCTGAAATTTCATATTACACAGATGATGAAGATGGAAATCGGAAAAAGTACACGCGAAGGGGTGAATTGTTGCTTCTCTTCTTTATATATGAATTGCAATCTTATTGTTATATGACCTTCTTGATGACAAACTTTGCATTATAGTTGGTGCTAGAATGAATGAATCCTTCTATCCCTGATACTTATCAAATTTGTTTAATCTTCCACATGCTATACTTTTATTTACTTCTGGTTGAATATTTCATGGTTTTCAGTATCTTTGTACCAAACTGTTGGAATTAAGGCATTTCTCAAACTTATGAAGATGTTTTTGAGTTCATTCTGTTTGCCTTCTCATTTTGTTTTATTTAATGCATGTTACGTCGTCATTTCATTAGATACCATAAAAGAATTCTCTATTTTCAAATTAATGAGGCTCTCAATTGCAGGTTCTTTCCGCCATAAGTTTCTTAGGGCATTGCTACCTGTCTGGTCGAGTGCATTACCAGTTCTTCCAGTGACTGCACCACCAAGAAAAGATGCATCAAATGCAGATGATGTCCCAGAAGGTCGTTTGCGGCATCAGAGATCCTCAAGGATGGATCCAAGGAAAATCCTTCTCTTCATAGCAATCATGTAATGTTTGCGGATCTCTTAACTTGTTCCTATTGCCTTGTTTACCCATATTTTTCCCCAGATAAGAGAATTAATATAAAGTTAGAAAAAGGCTTGATAATAACCAAAGGAATTGACGAAGTACAAATGAATATTCAGCGATTGAATCAATGAACCAATTGATCTAATAGGGATTTTGTTTTAGGGTGTGCAGGCATGGCGCATTTCCCATGCTTGTATTCATATGCCGCACCTGGCCAAATTTATTTGTGGGGTAAAATTCTGTCAGATGACTGCAATCATGTGATTTCAGGCAAGGTGCACCATAAATGGTTGTTGCTGGAGAAGGGAATGTATAAAGAATACAGATGAAAGTTATGTGACTGAATCAAGCGATTCAGTGGTTGGACTCGAGGGATTTGCTTTAGGGTGTCAGTCAAGGTGCAGTACCATACTGGTGTTCATTTGGTGTACACTATCAAACGTGTTGTAAGCCTTGTATGGTAGAATTCTCTCTATCAGATGATTGCGGTGATGTGATCTTGCTCGGAATTCTTTCTTTTGCACTTGTGTTTTCTTCTTGGAAAAAAAATGGAATCATTGAAATGTGGATATTTGTCCTGTAACGTGGGGCAACTGTTAGCACCAACCACCTCTCGTGTAATTAATATAGGTTCTCTTATGTTGATGCAGGAGTGTTGCATAAGCCTCATATCAAGTTCTCACCACTGGCCCATTTAGAGAGACCAACAAACAAACAATTATTAGCATTATCATTATTACCATTCTGGAAAAACTATCAGCATCATTATCGTTCCAGTCTTAACCTAGATAGAGAAAAAACACAAGATTTGAAGTTGTTATTTTCTCACTTTTTTCAGTTCATAAATCATGCCTAGATTCACTAATGCAAGTGTTCCATAATTTACATGCAGGGCATGCGTGGGTACGATGGGTATTCTGTATTACAGACTTGCACAAGGTGGCCTTGGTGAGGAGCTGCCCGGTGACGAGCAACAGTGATCAAAATCTCATAGAGGTCGTGATGGTATATTATTTCTTGATATTCTGGTTACTTCCACGATTCTTCCTTGTTTCCGCTGAGTCACTCCCTCGTGATGGACTGGGCTGGTTCACTGCTAAGCACACCAGTCGATGCTTGCTGTAGAGAATTTTCATTTTTCTCTGATGGCAGCAAAATGGTGCGTATGAATTTCTTGCTCATCTTGGTCCTCTGCTCGTGTTTTGGCTTTTGTTTGTAAACAAAAGTATCGCATTAAAACCAATTTTTTATTTTTATTTTTAGGTTCAGTTATTTTGTGAATATCTATTTTGAACTAATAACCTTGAGACAGCTAAGGTTGTATGGACCATTTGTGGTTCAGAATGTCTCATTTGTGTATTTTTTTTGCATCTTTACTGTGTTGGTATTGTATGCTGGGCTGAAGAGATCATTGTTTCAGTTACTTCTGGAAGATAAATTTGTGAGAACCACTGTCCACCTTGATAGTTTTGAAAACTAGATTTGATCAAGGGGTTGTTTCTCAGATGACAGAACAATGGTGCATGGAAATTTTATTGAAGCTTTCATCATAATTTATTTTTGAGTGTTGCCGAATTCAATTTATGTGAGAAGGGCGGTTGGTCTTATTACATGATGTCACATCATGATGACATTATATAGTAGGATCCACCACTACACTCACATAAATCGAATTCGATAATTACCAAATTCGTTCTTTAAATCACTATTGTTGATTTTTTCAATGTTTTGGTTTGGCAGTTGAACAAGCATATTAACTAAAAGGTACCTGAATGAGTTCTCTAGTTTTGCTGTTTCTTAGATTGTGGTGCTGGAAAGCAGAAGTAGAAGGAATAGCATATTTGAGAACAATCTCTTCTGTGTTGAACCTACCTTGGGTCTACCCCCTTCCATTTAGAAGGGTTATGGGAGGGACTGGGATGGGAATGAAAAAAGATTACCCATTCCTTTTATACATACAAGTAAATTATAATTTTGCCCTTATAATTTATTTTATATTTAAAAATATTAGGTATATAGTAAAGCAAAATCTGGTTAACCTATTCCAATCACTAGATTTCCTTTCACATTCAACTTTTTACTGAGTAGAATATTATGATTTCATATTTATTCATCAACTCTTATATTTTTCAAATTGAGCAAATAAAGACATTTAGTCAAATTGAAGATTAAAATACTTAAAATGTCCTTAAAAGACAAAATAAAATAAAAAATACTAATTTAATAAAACATGGGATTTTATTTCATTTTATTTTATTTTATTTATTTATTTTTTTGATAAGAATAAAACACGGGATTATTAAGGATATTTTGGAATTTTAATAAAAAAATCAAAGGGACAATTTGTATATATTTTCAAATGATAGGGATATATATGTACGTACCAAACTATAATTTGGCCCAATTTTTTATACAGCGTGATTTCATGTTTCTTGCTTTTTATTCTTATTTAAATAAATCATCAGATGTTTACTAGAAAAATTATATGCCGAAGTGGGGAAAATATAAGATTGCAAATGGAGTGCTTTGAACTTGAATTTCTTAGTTGTCTTGACAAACTTAATTTTAGAGTTTCAATTAAACTCCGTTTGTTGGTAAAATAATTTTTTTATTTGTATTTTTTTATATTTGACAAAGATCTAAGTCGATGTTGAGGTTAAGTTTATCGGGTGGAACGTGTAAAATAACCTGTCATAAGTCCATAAGTAAATTACTTTTGTTAAATTTTGATAATTTTTTTTCTTCATAAATATTTTATAACAATGAAGAATAAAAAAAACATAAAAAAATATTTTACATCCAAATAAAAAAAAAAAGTTATAACAAGGACAGATAAATTCAGGCTATTTTTAAAAATAAGACACTCTATTTTAAAATGTGAAATGACATTATCATCTTTTATTCAATTTTTGAGGAACAAGTACTGGGAGCATTTACAATTTAATTTTGAAAGAATAAAAATGTACATTTATTTTCAAAAGTAAAAATAAAAATTATAAAAATTGAAATGCATTTATCATTTTTAACCAAAATTTTATTAATGTACTTCCTCGTGTGACCAATTAAGAATTAGGCCGACTATAAGCATGAAAAGCCATAATCTTTTATAATAATTTTCCACTCACAACCAATCATTCAATCTTTTAATTAATGCTTATCATTTCAATTGATCTAGTGTTATTATAATTATAAGTTATAACTATATATTTTTAAAAAAAATGTCATGCAATAATTCATATTTAAGTATACACTATCCAGTTTAGTCACTTTAATACAACTGACATATTCGATTTAAAGATAAAATGAAAACTAAATTATTCAATGCATATACTAGTATATCTAAGAATTTCTACCAACCTATACAATGAAAATAAATTAAGATTTTTAAAAGGCTTCTGTTAATGATGAGGGGTCACATATTGTTGCTAAACAAAACCCTAGAAGGAACCCCAAACGTGCAGGTTGGCCATGGATATTCTCCATGAGCTACACAATCTGAGTTTCCACTTTAATTCTCGCAATCCCTAAAGATCAATTCCATTCTCTCAAAAGTTGGTGTATACACACATGAATATATATATATATATATATATTGGATCAACAAAAAAGGAAATGCACACGGATGTGTGCGTGCATATATGATATCTTATGCATAATTAAGATTCCAATTGTGTGTGTGTGTGTATATATAGATCGTGAAATGGCCGGTGCAACATTCAGCTATATATATAAATATAAATATACATATACATGTATATATATTATATTGTATATATGTGTGTAATTACAAGGAAGCTTCGTTTGATTCCCTGTAGAGAGGTCGATTCGACGCGTATGATGAAGAGCGAACAACGGCGGAAAATCGGGACGCGACATGGCCACAGATATGGACAGACTACTCCGTCTCGGTGTGTGTCAATTGAAGGTATCTTTGTTATGTAATTAGATTGTGCTGCTGAAATTTTCTGGCGGGAAAATTTAGGGTTTTGTTTGTTTGTGATCTAATTTTTTATTTAGGTCTCACAGCGCATGTCCCTCTGATGGAAAATGGGAAGTATAGCATTGGTTAAGATACTGGGAGATATTAGTGTTGTTTTTTTAATTCTTTCCTTCCATTTCTTGTTAAGTTGTGAGTAAAATATTGTATAAAGGGCCAACCGTTCCTTATAATTATTTTGTTGATGCCAGGTAAGAACCCATAAATGGATAGGATTTTATATTTGTAAGCACTACTTTGTTGTTGATCAGATGCATCTACATTTAGAAATCAGATCCCCTCACCTTCTGTGGAGAGGAGGGGATCCTGTGCCTTGGTTGTGTATTGCTAGTGCAACGCATTACATCGTAGTTCAACAGCCTTATGACAAAGTGCAACACTATGAACTAACAATGTAATGTAGTTGTAGTATATACAATGTAAAGGCATATGATGTGGCACAAAATGAAACGGCACAAGAGAGGATCCGAGATCCTATATCGAGTTCCTATATTTATTGATTTATTGCCTGTTATGGGGACTTGAACTCTCAACCTTTCACTTGCCACTTGGATAGTAGAGGTCCAGAAGTGACCATCGCTGGAGCTAAACTTTAGTGATATATGCATCCATAACACCTCTCTATGATAATTTGGTCATTTTGTTTATATGTATATTTTTTGGGTCTATGGATATTGGATGGTTGATAGTTATTCTACTTTTGACTAGTGTGTCTTTAACATGCAATTCTCATTTTGATTTAGCATTTTGATAGTCCTAGTTGAGCACCCAGAGTAGCAAATGGCGATGAGCCAAAAATTAATGGCATCATACCGCCCAATATCTTTAAATGTGTTGCATGCTGATTCTTTTTTTATAAGGCTGACATGGTTAGATTTTGTGGAAAAAAGTTGAGGGACAACCATTGTTTGATATGAGCACCAGCCTAATTTGATTAATATTGTGGGAACCACATGAGTTTTTATAAAAAAAAAAATCAAATCTAACATAAGTGGTATAAGTTTTGCAATTTTATAAAGCTTATAATATGGTATTTGATAAGAAAGAGAGACCCTCTGGTGCGATGACAGTATATTTATTATCATGTGGCTGTGAAGTTATTTATGAGTTTTTTGTAAATTGATTTTTGTACCACTAACATTATGGTGAGTTAAATTTGACCAATTCATTTTAATCGAAATTTTGAACACACAGTAACATTGTCAATAATTTTTTTTTGAATGCAGATGCAAATTTTCTGTCAGTGTCTTATTTGCCTGATGGGATTCATTGATGGTGAGTCACAATTCTTTTTTCTCTCAGTAATGATATACTACGATGAGGAGGTATTAAGATAACAGATATCAATCTCTCATATATGAATATATATATATATGTATGAATATATATTGAGGGTATTCGATTCTGTGACTATTCACCTTTATTTTCTATAAAGAAGGCATCCAGTAGTACAAAGACAATAATATTCTGTGCTCTTTTACTTTTGTCAAATGATTAATGCAAGTGGCTCAAGTTTACATTGTATTGGAGTGCTCTTTTACTTCTGTCAAATGATTGGTGCAAGTGGTTCAAGTTCACATTGTATTGGATCGGCTTGTATTTCATGTCTGCTATTTTCTTGCGTTGTGAAAATATTTGAACTGGTTTCGTGATGGGTTCAATTTAGTAGCTCAAGTGACCAGACATTAACTTGATTTAAATGGTTGCAGCCATTGCATTTAAAGCGAATCAGTTGGATGATGGAAAACTTTTGACGATGAATCGGAAAAGGAAACAGTAAGGGGTGAACATGGTAAGAAATTTTATTGTAATACTTTGTATATTTTTAGCAGTCAATGGAGCCATCAGTTGAAAAATTCTCCAAATTTTTTTTTTTGCTGGCATTTCAGGAATTCAGAGGTCATTAGACATTACGAGAAAGAGCACCGGAGACGTATCAAACCCTTTAAGATCAATTTGCTTGGTAATGCAGAGGTAACTATATGGATTTCAATTTAGTAGTTTTGATGTCTGGTTCACTTAGTGAATCATGTAATGGATTCGATTTTTTATCTGCTCATATTGTTTTGTAACTAACAAACCTGATGAAAATAATATAGTACTAACCAAGTGGTTATATAGCATGTTCAAAAAACAATTGTTAAGTTTGGAGCATTGTAGGGGAAAAGGATCCAGGTTGGAATATATTGTGTCTGGTTCCAGGTTGTTTGTAGATGTCTGACCCTTCTCCACGATCTTGCCGTCCTTCAGAAACATCATTATCATAGATTTTTAAGTTTAATCATTCATGCTAACATATTCAGAGGAACCCCGCGTTCTCTGGACCTACCAAGTGTTGTTCTCTGCCTTCCTCTTTTCCCAAATCTTACTTTCATTTTACCTAATCTAAGTGTTCAGATTTTGATACTAATTAATAACACTCGTCGCTTTCCAACGATGAGTCACCCTGAACATTTTTATTTCGTTAATTAAGTAAGTTTAAGGCATTTAAAGCCACTGAAAGGTCACACTATTTTAGTGCATCATTGGCTTGGATTTGGTCACTGGCTGAGTTGTACTTGCCCCCATTACGGATTGGGAGTTGTTTTTTAGTTAATTATTGGGAATTAATAATTGAAATCTTGTTGTACAAATGAAGTTCATCCAGTTCGACATTCTTCCGTACTTTTTGGTATAAATAATCTTCATCTCCATTTCTTCTAAGCAGAACAGTTAGCACTCTACAGAAAGTCCCTTTATTTCCCCATAGGCTGTCCATTTTTCTGTGGCAATAAGAAAATGGAGTCTTTAGGAGTCATGTCAGATGAATGGAACTCATTTAGTGGAATGTACTCCACTGATCAGGAGGCTGACTTCATGGCACAGTTGCTTGGTTACTGTGAACTTCCGAATGAGCTGTCAGAGGGTTCGAGCTTTTTCGTCCACTCCTCCCATGAGTCAGCTGTGAACATGGCCGGGGTTGGCGAAGGCTTAATGTGTTCTTCAAATAGCACTAATACTAGCATGTACTGTTCTCCACAAGGGACTAGTACTTATAGTGGTCTTAGTAGTATTCTTTTTCCCAGTACTTCAAGTCTTGAAAGCTACTACCTGAGTGATTCTCATCATACATCAGGGGCAAGCGATGGTTCTGTGTCGATGGATTTATGCATTGGGGAGGATAATAACACCGGCTTAATAGAAGAGGATGACTTCTGGAACCAAGATATGAGTACTGGCCGTATGGAGTCTGGTGTGAACCTGTCAGAAGCTGTTCACGGAAAGAATTTGCAGCTCAAAAGGGAACCTACGATGGCAGTACCGGATCTGTCTAGTGAAGATAAAAATGATTCACTGGACAATTCTAAGAAAAGATCTCGAGTTTCAGGAGAGGTGAGTATATTAAGAAACACATTACATTGTTAACAAAGTGTTTTACTTTTCCTATTGCAAATGCTACTTAATTTTGAATATTGTTTGCCGTTTCTCATCACAATTTTCTAATGCAGGTCCAAAAGAAGAGGAATGTGAAGTCGAAGAAGAACAAGAAACTTGACGAAGATAACAATGCCGAGCTTAATAAGCAGAGCTCAAGCAGCTGCTGCTTAGAGGATGACTCCAATGCTTCTCAGGACCTGAACAGAGTGACTTCGAGTTCAAGCTCAAAAGGGGCTGCAGCTATGGATTCAAATGGCAAGACAAGAACCAGTAGGGTGTCAGCTACTGATCCCCAGAGTCTCTATGCAAGGGTAACTACTTACCAGTGTTTCGACATAGTGTGTTTGCTGTTAACCAATGTGCAATTGATTTGGATTTTTCCTTTTTTTCCCATATTGTAGAAAAGAAGAGAGAAAATAAACGAGCGGTTAAGAATCTTACAGAACCTCGTCCCAAATGGAACAAAGGTAGGCAATTATGTATGGAACTGCTTTTTTTTTTTTTTTTTTCGCGCTAAATGGAACTGCATGTTGATTTCTAAGTTCTTCAAGTTAATCAATTCTTGGGCATGACAGGTTGATATTAGCACAATGCTGGAAGAAGCTGTCCATTATGTGAAGTTTTTGCAAGTTCAAATCAAGGTCAGTGAAAAAGAATGATAACTTTATTTTCATTTCAAGATTGTCTAAGTTCCACTGAGATTGTACTATTCTCGAACTGAGTAGAGGAAATCGACAATGTGGTTTTGGAAATAAGTGTTTTTATGTATCTATTTACGAGATTCAAACATTGTTTGTTTCTTGAAGCTAAGTTGGGAATGGAGTTACTGATCCTAATGCTGACTTTACTGTTTGTATATATGTAGCTATTGAGCTCTGATGATCTGTGGATGTATGCTCCCTTCGCATACAACGGATTGAACATTGGGCTTGATCTGACGATCTTGACGCGGAGGTGATGATCTTGAAGATGAAGGGAAGGAATGCTGGTGCTGAGTATTCAATTTATTAAATAAATATAGCAAATTATATAGAATATGTATGTAGTCAATTCCGTCTTGTAATGAGTTTCTTTTTGCAATTTATTGACGGCCTATTGCTCTTACACGATGAGTAATCATCATGAATAATTGATTAAACTACTAAGTTTCTGTTTGATTTTGCCTCAACATAATAAACAAGGCTTTCATCTTCATCTGTTGTTGTCAATGATAGTATAACTCTTGTACAGAACATTGATTTGAATTAGTTGCTTTGTAACAACTTGGTGGTGAAATGGTAATTTCAATTGTTTAAATTGTGTGTAATTAATTTAATTTGAACTGACCTCTTGGGAACGCCTCTCAAGAATTTTCTTGGTAATTGTTTGGAGTGTGTGAGATGGTGGATTACGTGTCAGATGGTGAATGGTGGATTATGGAGTGCTCTAATCATCCTTGGCTTGATATTATATAAATAGTGTTGGTCATATGAATTCTTTCTATAATATTTTCACCTACTATATTTAAACTTTCTAAAGTCATTTTTAACTTCATCCATGTTATTTTTAGTCGTTGTCGGTCTCTTTACCTTTTATTACAATTAATCTTGATCCTTTGACCGGCATGTCATTCGGTCTCTACAGTACTATATGTCCGATAAATTGAAATTCACTCTCTTGAATTTCCTTATCAATGGATGTTATAGTTAATTGACTCTCTCTCTTCTAGTCACTCCACTCGATCATTTTAACACTCTCATTTACTAACAAGTTCCCGAATAGAATTTGTTACATTTGCTTTTTTGGTATGGCATTTGGTTGATAAAATTTATATTTCTTTTAAATTAAAGCCTCAGGGATCCTCAATGTACAGTGCCATGGCTTAAAAATACATAAACAACAAAGGTTGGTAGACTTTCATTATTATTTTAAAATTAACTTGACATCCATTTTCTCCTTTTTATTCTTTAGGACTGACCATACTGTAAATTTGTTAAGAATCAGTTTGATTCAATGGATTGTAAATTTGTAATCTCCACCATTCCTTGTCAATCAATCCAAAAATTATTCAATTTTGCTTCTTCTTTTTGACATGAAGTGCCAATTCAAAGCATTCAAGGCATGTTTATTAATTATTACTCAACTTTCACATTATATTAAACTTGGAAGGGTCTATTTTTGTTAAAAGAGTTATTAAAAAATTTAAAACTGAGTGAACCAAACCTATTTTTTTCAGAAAGTTGAACCAAACAATGTACTTAGATATTGTTCTGGTCTTTTATGGGGATAATTGTGGAAATTTGAGGGAATTAGTTCCACCCGATACAAGATTGGGACACAGTCTTTCTGAGTAGACAGTGTGCCCCCATGCTTTTTGTGGCTTAGCCGCATAGGTGCTATAGTGGGCTTAGCGTGCAATGTGTTTGCAATTTCTTTGAAGCAACGTACTCTTCTTCCCCTCTCTCTCTCTCTCTCACACACACACACAAACTCTCTCTCTCTAGACTCTAGAGTAGTAGTATAGCTTGCCTGAGATGAACTCGATCTCTTGCTTTCCAACATTAAGCTTGTCCTGTACAACATACTACGATACTGTAGTAAGAAATGTATGTGTACTACAATCCAATCTTGCAATTCAAGCATGAATTAAAATGACGGTATCCAATTAAGATTGCCTGAAAAAGACCATCAAAGTTCAAAATCACCCCAAACTATCTTTCCTCCTCCTTATACATACAAAATAAATAAATACATAAAATAAAAAAATTAAGGTGGAGGTAAGACGTTGGTCAATTGTAGAAGGATTTCGCCTCTGGAAGTGTCAAATATACGAAGACCTACATGAACTCGTCACCTCCTAAGTCACAATAGAGAAACTTATGGTACCCATCCTATCACGACCTCTTTTTATTACAACCATATATTACAATAATACCAAGTCCATACTTTTCAAAAGAAGGTCAAGATTTCGAGCATCTGAACACTCACAGTAGTGTCATTAAAAGGACTCCATATATTCACGTGTGGGCAAAATTAATAGAGAATAAAATTAGACCAAACGATGTAAGAATCAAATTAGGTCAATTTACCATCTCAACTGAACACTCATAGTAAGCTTCCTGAAAAAGGTATACATATATATATTTTACACACGTTACCTTATAGTGTATACTAGTTTATAGTAAAGCAAAAGTTAAGTATAACTTTAGGATCACATTCTAGTCCAAGTATAAAGACTGTGAGAGGTAACAGAAAATTAAACACCAAACACATACACCTAAAGAGAAGAAGCCATGAAAGCCCATCTTCTCTTACCTCTCTTCTTTTCACTCCTCCTCCTCCTCCTATTCCCACGCGCCACCCACCAATACGCGTGCGACAACCGCGACCCCAACACGGCCAACTATGCCTTCTGCGACACTTCCCTCTCATACACAGACCGAGCCAAGGACTTAGTGTCACGCCTCACTCTCCAAGAGAAGGTGAAACAACTAGTCAACAAAGCCACCGGGATTTCCCGGCTTGGCGTCCCCGCCTACGAGTGGTGGTCTGAGGCCCTCCACGGGGTCTCAAACACCGGACCAGGGGTCCGTTTCAATGCCACCGTGCCTGGTGCAACTAGCTTCCCGGCAGTGATTCTTTCAGCTGCTAGCTTTAATGCCTCGTTGTGGTACGAGCTGGGGCGGGTTGTGTCAACCGAGGCTCGAGCCATGTACAATGCTGGCTTAGCCGGGCTGACGTATTGGAGTCCGAATGTGAACGTTTTTCGGGACCCGAGGTGGGGACGGGGGCAGGAGACCCCGGGAGAGGACCCTCTGGTGGTGGCTAAGTATGCAGTGAACTATGTCCGGGGTTTGCAGGAGGTGGGACAGGAAGGGGACTTCAGTAGTGAGAAGCTCAAGGTTTCGAGTTGTTGTAAGCATTATACTGCTTATGATCTTGATAACTGGAAAGGGGTTGATCGGTTTCACTTTGATGCAAAGGTATGCATGTTTGATCATTCATATATATATATATATATATATATATATGAATAATGTTTTTGTGTCCGAAAGAACATTTCCAAGCTTTCAAGGCCATCAAGGTATTTTTGTCAAAATAATTGTCCCACGTGGTCACGTGCTTGAATATGATCACTTTAATTTTAGAATTCTAACTTTTGTGCCTAAGAGGAGGGTAATTTGCAATTTTTGATAAATTAAGGGTTTGTTGCAAAAAAAAAAAAAAAATTAATATAGGGGGTATTTTGTAACTTTTTTATAATACAAGGGGTCTAGAGCAATTTGGCATGTTTTATTATTTGAATTGTTTTGATTTTTGATTTTATTTTATTTGATTTTATTTATTATTATTTTTTTTTAAACACTAAGTGTTTTGATTAAAGTGGACTACATGAACTATCTAATAATTTCTTATAGTACAAGAAAATATAATATTCCGGGATATTTTACATGTAGTCTTCCCACTCAATACACATTCATGTTTTTTCTTGAAAATTCCTCATTTCTCGTATATTAAGTCAAATTGAGAGATTTTATAACTGTGCATTGGGCATGGATATAGCACTTATAAAATACCCTAGGGTTTTGTATACTCTCTCCTCATATTAGGGTGTACCAGCTGACCATTTAGTTACTGAAGAAAGGAAAAATAATCAAAGAAGTCCAATTAATAAAGCTATGTTTGTGTGTGTGTGTATATATATATATATATATGATCATTGTATTGGGGCTGCAGGTGACACCACAGGACATGGAAGATACATATCAGCCTCCATTCAAGAGCTGTGTAGAGGAGGGGCATGTCACCAGTGTGATGTGTTCATATAATAGGGTCAATGGGATCCCCACATGTGCTGACCCTGACTTGCTCCAAGGGGTAATCAGAGGACAATGGGATCTTGATGGGTTTGTACCTCTCCCATGTCATTTTTTTTATTTCTATTATTGTATTGTTACTATTTATTATTTTGTTTTGTTGTAATAGTGGACTGACAATAAGCAAAACGCTAATGTTATTTAATAGCATTTTTATAACTGTACCACATTGGTTTTGCCTCTACAATATTTTCAAGCTGGTTTAATTTGAAGGAGACCTTATATCAATATTTGTTGGAAAAATCAAAATAAAATTGTAGCTTTGTCCTCAAGATGTAGATTGGGTGGCAAAGGGTATAGTTTGAGAATGCCAACCTGATGAGAAGGATTTTTTTTTTTTTTTTTTTGGGGATCAAGATTGGCACGTGTCATTACTCGATCATTAGTTCAGGTGGTATAACCTTTCTTTTTTTAAAAGAGAGGTGAGGGGTTCGAGCATTTGTGGGTGTGTAAATATTTACCTAATTAAAAATTGACATGTGACAAAATGGTTGATGTTTAAGGCTAAAAATGTAGGATTAAAGGGGGCTTTTTGCACTCTTCTAGTGAGAAAACGGAGTGATACAAGAATGTACTTCATGACTACTCCCTTGGACACATTGGAATTTGCACCTTTCTTCTACTGCCCTAACTATTGATATATGTATGGGAGACAATCTGATATGAAACCAAATGAGCCAACTATTCAAATCTAGTTTAATCTCTTAATATCATAGATGGGGACCCTTTTTACTACTTTAAAATGATATTTTAATTGTCTTCGTTACCCTAATCAATACTAATTCAAGTATACTTTGGAACAGATATATTGTTTCAGACTGTGACTCCATTCAGGTTTATTTCAACTCTATACATTACACTGCTACACCTGAGGATGCAGTAGCTCTAGCCCTGAAAGCAGGTATTCCATTTTTTAAATTATTATTATTATTATTATTATTATTTTATATTTTTATGTTCAAGAAAATGCGCACACACCCACAATATTGCCCCCGTTCGAACGAAGAGATCATACCTTTTGGGCTAATATATATTGGTAAGCAGGTATCCTAATTGCACCAACATATCATATGCTAAATAGTCCTACATGATCATGCAGGTTTGAACATGAATTGTGGAGATTACCTAGGGAAATACACAGAGAATGCAGTGAAATTGAAAAAAGTGGAAGAGTCTGTTGTAGACCAGGCACTGATATACAATTATGTGGTCTTAATGAGGCTTGGTTTCTTTGATGGTGACCCCAAATTGCTCCCATTTGGGAAACTTGGCCCTTCTGATGTATGTACCAATGATCATCAATCATTGGCAGTTGAAGCTGCCAAACAGGGAATAGTTTTGCTAGACAACAATGGAGCTCTTCCTCTGTCTCCAAAGACCATCAAGAATTTAGCCATTATAGGACCTAATGCTAATGTCACTGTGACTATGATAAGCAACTATGCCGGTGTGCCTTGTCGCTACACTAGCCCTTTGCAGGGGCTACAAAAGTATGTGTCGGCAGTGACATACCAGCCGGGGTGTAGCAATGTGGGATGCAGCAATGGAGGCCAAATCGATGCAGCAGTCAAGGCTGCAGCTGCAGCTGATGCTGCGGTGGTAGTAGTGGGGCTTGATCAATCCATTGAGAGGGAAGGGCTGGATAGAGTGAACTTGACATTGCCAGGATTCCAAGAGAAGCTTGTAACTCAAGTGGCTAATGCCACTAATGGACCGGTAATTCTTGTCATAATGTCAGCCAGTCCAATTGATGTTTCCTTCGCGAAGAACAATAGCAAAATTGGGGGAATTTTATGGGTTGGATATCCTGGTCAAGGTGGAGGGGATGCCATAGCTCAAGTCATATTTGGAGACCATAATCCAGGTTCTCTTTCTCTTGAACACACAACACACACACACACACACACACACACACACACACACATTTTGTATTGTCTTCAGTGCATCTCTGAAGTTTTTTAGGCATCTTCTCTATTTTACAATGCCTTGCAATTGTTTAAGCATAAGGCACAAGTATATTGATACATTTGTTTGTGCTTTCAGGTGGAAGGTCACCTTTTACTTGGTACCCACAAGCGTATGTAGATCAAGTCCCAATGACTGACATGAACATGAGAGCTAATGCCACTAGAAACTTTCCGGGAAGAACCTACCGATTCTATAATGGCAAATCTCTCTATGAATTTGGCCATGGACTAAGCTACTCAAAATTTTCCTACTCCCTAATATCTGCCCCTTCCACCATAAACGTCCTATCTTCCGAGTCCACCACGCAGCTTAATGGCCAAGCAATCGACATTTCAAGTATAGATTGCCAGGATCTAGAAGTGGAATTGATGATTGGAGTGAAAAATGAGGGGCCTATGGATGGTGCCCATGTCGTGCTATTGTTTTGGAAGCCGGCTTGCTCACAAGGGGTGATTGGGACACCGAATGTGCAGCTGGTGGGGTTTGAGACAGTGGAGGTGAAAAAAGGGGAGACAGGGACAGCAACCATGAAGTTGGACGTGTGCAAGGAGCTAAGCGTGGTGGATGAAGATGGAAAGAGGAAGTTGATCCTTGGGCCGCATAAACTTGTAGTTGGTTCTTCTAATGAGAACCACCTGAAGCACAATTTCAATGTCAGTATGTCTGGAAGTGCCTTATCTATGTAATATAGCAGCTAAGAGTACTACCACCACTTCCACAACCATTATTAATAATATTGGCTAATTAAGAGTAAGAGTAAAAGCTAGAATACATGTGAAAGAGATGTGCGCACTCATATGTAATAGAAGCTTCTTTCTCTGACTACAAAATATCACCCTACCCTTCGAAACTTATTTGATTTCTGATAATACAGGAAAATAAATGAAATCCAAGAATTTTCTCTGGATCAACTCACTAAGATGCCAAACAGTCCTTAAAGGATTCTTGTAAAGACCAATTCAATTATAATCAAATAATACACACAGCTAAACTTGGAGAGATACCATAAAAAATAGCAAATATAGAAGAATGGAGCACAAACCAGAGCTTAACAAATTAATCATCCTCCTCATAATTACTGCCCTAATTCCTTCTTCCTTGGTTCATTCGAGCAAGCTTGCAACCTCTCCATCACTTGCAGCAGTAAGTTCATCCTGGATTCTCTAATTATTTTTTGTTATCTGACTTATGTAGTGCTTTAGTGAAACATAACAAGTTCGAATTACAAAAACAATTTTTTTTTTTCCTATTTGTATTTGTATTTTAGGCTAATGGTGAGGAAGCTTCCTATGATATGAATATGTTTAAATGGAGCATTAAAAAGGCGATTAAAGGGTCATTTCCTGTGATCTGTAATTCAAAGTGCAACCAATGCAAGCCCTGCATGCCAGTTGAAGTATTAATCCGAGCGACGGAGCTGGAAGAGAATGAGTATTATCCGCAGGTGTGGAAGTGTATGTGTGAAGACAAACTCTTCTCGCCTTTTTAAGCTTCTTACCATATTATAACCATAAAAAGGCTCTTTGCAGCTTCCTGCTAAGAAGAGTACAGTATATATATGGAATACTTGCTATTGTAGTTATGTTAAAACTGTTTAATCAGATTGTTATTTCCATGACCTGAATTCCCCAAATAAACAGATTTTATGGTCCATTAACCATCTATTTCCAATGCCAAAAGTCTAGAATCTAAGAGAAAAAAAGGGGCTAGCCGAGTGCATGAGTCAGATTGTTATTTCCATGACCTGAATTCCCCTAATAAACAGATTTTATGGTCCATTAACCATCTATTTCCAATGCCAAAAGTCTAGAATCTAAGAGAAAAAACAGGGGGCTAACCGAGTGCATGAGACCCTCGCCATTGCAGGGTTTGGGAGGGTCAGATGTACACAGCTTTACCTTCGCATGAAGAGGCTGTTTCTAATTCCAAACCCGTGACCACCTTACTGTTGCTCTGAAAAAGTAAAATGATGATCATTTAACTTTCCATTGAAAGAAGCAAAAAAGTAAAATGACAAAGAGTTTTGATCATGGTGCAAAGTATAATATAACGACCCGAACCCGAAGGTCTGAATCGTTAACCGAGTTCTTACCTGAACCCGAGGACTCTCAAGGGTTATATGGTCATTTCTTTTGTCGAGGCATTAATAATGATGTCCCGGGGTCAACAAGGCTCAAGATAATCATGAATTGGTCAAAGGAGAAGTAAAATCAGGTTTGTAAACAAATTGGCCCAATATGTAGGAATCGGTCGACGTGTGAGGTGTACACGTCGACCGGTTTGGTGAACTCGATCGATGTGAAATCATAAACGTCCACCGATTCCTGCATGTTGGGCCAATTTGTTTGTAAACCTGATTTTACTAATGTATCCCACTTCTTTTAAAGGCATATCTAATGTATCCCACTTCTTTTAAAGTCGTATCTCTTCTTCTGTAAAAAGACAATTCATAATCTTTGTTTTGAACACATTTCAAAATTTAGAAAGGACAAGAATATTTTTTTTTCTCATGGAAAAGGTTTCCTCTGAAACAAGCCCTAGCTTCCATAAAAACAAAAAAATTTAAATTAAAATTAAAAAGAGAAAAAAAGCGGATTTCATTAGCTATTATAAAATACAAAAAGCTATTATAGAAAAATGTAATATGTGATTGTGATATATATTAAATATAAAAAGATATTTTCTATTAGAATGAAAAATTAAAAGTCGATCTTATATAACTTTTACTCAATACGTTCCTCAATAATCTTATAAAATACAAAAGGCTATTATAGAAAAATGTAATATGTGATTGTGATATATATATTGAACACAAAAAAATGCTTTCTATTCGAATGAAAAATTAAAAACGATCTTATATAACTTTTACTCAATACCATTCGAATGAAAAATTAAAAACGATCTTATATAACTTTTACTCAATACGCTCCTCAATATTCTGCAATGGGGTAGTGAGTGAATTGTCATATATATTATGCACAATTAGTTTTATTTATAAATATATTATTTATGCATTTATTTGAAAACTATATGATACGTTTTAAAATAGTATTTTTTTTTTCTAAAGAGTAATTTATAAATTAAATCCTATAAAACAAAAAAAATTCAAAAGGATTTCATTAGCTATTATAAAATATAAAAGACTTATATATAAAAATGTAATACAGAATATGTTATTGTGATATATATTGATTATAAAAAGGTGCTTTCTATTATAAAGAAAAATTAAAAGATGATCATACATTTTATTCAATACGCTCTTCAATTCCTCAATATTCTTATCCCATTTTTTTTATCACTCAATGGGTAGTGAATTGTCATATATATTATTAAGCATATAGATTATAGAGTATATAACCCCTTATATGTTCTAAAACCTCATTAGCATTCAATTTTGATGCAAACAAATACCTGAATGTAAAAAAGAATAAAAAAATCCATGAATACATTCTCACTTCGAAATAGTGACTTCAAGCCATTTTTTGCTCATTTCTTAAACTTAACGGACTTATAAACACAACATAAGTCATTCATTGATAATTTTTTCAAACTTAACTGAATTATATAACCCAAATAAAAGATAGGGATATTATTTGTTCAAAATCAAAACATTAATTATATATATATAAATTAAGGTATTTAGTATGAGGTAGTAGTGGTATATATATACAGATTCAAAAATTATAGTAATAATGTGTATATATGCTTATATAGAGAGAGAAAAAAAAATATTTTATTTATTTTATAAATAATTAATAATTTTCTTTTAGGTGATGCTATAATTTTTGCTATTAAGTGATGCTAGAAAATAACAACTAACTTATTAATATTTATAGAAAGTATATATAAATTATAATTCATTTTATAATATATACACACTATTAATAATTATATATAATGTTAAGTGCAAAAAAATCTCTTTAATATATAAGATTTGTGCAAAATTAGTTCATACTTTTTTAAAATGAGCATGTTAGCTCATAAAATTTAATAAAGGTGCAAATAATCCCCTTGGACTACTTTTGACAAAAAGTGAACATGAAAACCCTACTTTACCTTTTTGATTTTCATTTTGCCCCCGGCCCATTAGTACAGTGAACAGCTCAGCTCGCCGGAGATGTGACCGGATAATTGCATGAAATTCGCCAGAATCGAATTTTCGCCGGAGAAGATGCGTGGGGCGCGTGTAGGAGAGTGTAACGCCGTATGTGGCTTTTATTTGCAGCATCGTATTCGTCTTGGTCTTGTGGACCGTATTATGCAATCAAAATGTGGTTTTGATCACGTTAAATTTATGCGTTGTTGGCTCTCTTTCTCTCTCATCTCTGTAATTTTTGGAGTCCGGCCTCTATCTCCAGCATAAGCCTCGCGTTCTTGCCGATGTCGTTGGGATATTCTTTCTGGGCATGAACTGAAGTTTACCGAGAGAGACGACGCGATCAGTTGAGAGAGAACAAGATTTAGGGAAATTTTCTACTCTGTAGAGAGAGAAAATCAGATATACTGTATATTAAAGGGGTTCCCCAATAAGCTGAACCAATATTGTATAAATTCACAACAATACCTCACTCACTGAGCTCCAATCATCACATGCAGGTGCACATATATGTATATCTATGTGTAAGTACGCATATGCATATAGAGAGAGAGAGTACAAAATTACAATCACAAATACACATGAACATAAAGATTTTCACTTGAACAACAAATTTTACATAAGAACGAAACAAAACATCATAATTATGAACTGGGCACTGCCCTAATTCATAAAAAACCCACAAATTCCTCAAAAAATGATGAATTAGAGCAATTCCCCAAGAAGCCGAACAAAGAGATAGTAAGTGAATAGAGTAGAAAAAGGTGAGAATGAAAGCATACCATGGCGTACAAATTGGTGAACCCATTGACCAAAGTTAGGGTTTTGGTGAACCGCTATTGGAACGCATCACTGAGATTGTGAGCTGGGTCGGTGGAGATGATGAGAACAGAGGATCGAACCATAGAGAGAAAGATGGAGATGATGGAGCTACAAGTGGTCTTGCCCACGCCGCCTTTGCCTCCAACGAAGACCCACTTGAGACTCTCTTGGTCCAGTCCGTTCTGTACCCTCCCTTCCGGCTAGACTCCCTCGTACCCTCCCTTCGTACCGTCCCTTCCGACAAGTCCTCCAGGTCATTTTATCGTCATTGCTATTAGGGTTAGCGGCGCTCGATTTATTTATTTATTTTTCTTTTCTTGATAAGTGGGCAAAAAGGTCATTTTACATGACCTAAAATTATTATTGTCATCTTACACCACAGAGCCTATTTGCATCAAATTAATAGGATATGAGATTTTTTATACTGGATTTATTTACATAGGGAAGATTCCCTGTATATTATACACACACTATTAATATTCAAGAAACCCTAACTATAAGTAGCAAGGGTTGGTCCAAAGCGCCTCGCTCAGTCTCTCTTTCAGCCTTTCATTTCCATTTTCCAAACCATTCCTCTCTTTCAAATCCTTGATACACAGCGCCTCCAAATCCTTCCTCTGCAGTCGACGGAGGACGGCGGGACATCGACGTCGGTCTGCAGTCGACTTGAGGTCTCGACATCGACTTGACGTCGCCCCGCTGTCCCGCCATACTCCGTCAACGACATCGGTCTGCAGTCGACGTAAGGTCTCGCTGTCCCGCCGTCCTCGACATCATCCTACCGTCATCTACATCGATCTGATCCCGACGTCGTACCGCCGTCCTCGACATCATCCTACCGTCATCGACATCGATCTGATCCCGACGTCGTCCCGCCGTCCTCCGTCATCGACATCGGTCTGCAGTCGAGATCGGTACGGTACTGCAGATTTTTTTTTATATATTTTTGATTATTTAGAAAAACGTGAAATGAGCTTACAAAGAAAAAAAAAAAAACATTTTTCTGAGATTATTTATTTATTTTTGGTTATTTATTCAATGTAAGCAAAGGAAAAAAAATCGATATTTACCCACACTGAAATGAGCTTTCACTTTACTTTACTTTTCATATACAATTATGTCAAAGGAAAATTCAATTTTTTCTTCGACTTCTTCAACATCAGATTCAGAGAGTATGTAAATGAATACTATAAATGAAAATGGCAAAAGACTAATTGATGATGTGATTAATGAAGTCATTGATGTCGTTGTTAGCGAAGGAAATCCATTTCAAACAAATAAAAGAAAGAAAACATCTCCCGTCTGAGAACTAATTTTTTGTGGAATACTAATTAATTTTGAGAAGTAATTTTTTTTACCAGCCGTGCCCAAGCTTTTAAAATCCAACCAGCCTGAGCCCGATCTCAAGTTTTTGAGTTGAGCCGAGCCGGATCAGACCCAAGCTCGGCTCGTGGTTCATATGCAGCCCTAATTGCTACTGTACTATATTTTATTTCTTCATTGTTGAATTTTTTTCTTACTTTTTAGTTTATAGTTTTACATTTGTTATATAAATTAATAATGGGTGTGTGTTTCGTTCTCCATTGTAGGCTGATTCCCTATCCTTCGCCAAAATGCATCAGTTTAATGAACATCATATTAAGCCTTCTATGTTGAGAAATGCTACTGGATGCTTTCGAAGAGCAAATCACAACCCGCAATCGATCAGGTTGTTCTCTCTGACCGCTGATTTGAATTTTCTCTCGTCTTTTTAGATACTTACATGTCATATCTGCATGAGTATGGTTAATCCAATTAAGCATTTTTTTATAGTTTATATAGTAAATTTTATATGGAATTAGTTATTGGAACTTACCATAGCTTAACTTAATCTTGTTTTGCCCCTTTGCTGTGACACCTCAATTTGACCACATGCTATCATATGACATTGTCAATTTCTGGTTTTTATCTTTTAAAATATTGCACAACACTTTCAATTATTTGTGGTCTTATTCACTAGGCGGAGGCTCTCTCTTACCTCTCCAATGGTACAATGATGACATACGGACTGTTATGGATGCGGGGTATTCCCCAAGCTGGTTGATCTTCTGCAGTGAGGATTTTATAATTTTACACTGTAGAAGATCAACTAGCTTGGGGAACACCCCACAGCCATAACAGTCTGTATGTCATCATGTGTACCGTTGGAGAGGTAAGAGAAAGCCTCACATGCATCAACGAACACGTCTATGCAATATTTTAAAAGATAAAAACCAGAAATTCACAATGTCAAAAATGTGTGTATGAATTTTACAAAATTGGTCAAATTGAGGTGTCACGGCAAAGTGGCAAAACAAGATTAAACCGATTACAGCAAGTTCAATAACTAATTCCATATTAATTTTATTTTATAAACTATAAAAAAAATGCTTAATTGGATTAACCATACCCAAGCAGCACATATGACGGGTGAACAACCTGATCGAATGCGGGTTGTGGTTTGCCCCCACATAGATGCTGAGGGGCTGGATGAGATTTTGGGATGCGGATTGAAGTTCAACTGAAGTTCTGTATGATTTTGGTTGCTGATTGTTAGGTCATTGAAGTTGCTGAATAGGCTCGGGATTATATTAGACAATTCTGTCTTTTGTATAGGGGGTTCCACGGTTGGAGGTCCTTGTAGTCATATTTCTAGAATTTCTTCCTTTGTACATGTTACCGGGAAATGTTGCCCAAATCCTGAGAGTTTTATCAAGAAATTTAAAGAAAAAATGGCTATAAACTCGACTCGATATTGAAGTAAAACGAATGGCAAGCATTATGATTACATTTTGTGTATTATTTGCTTTTTATCGCCTGCATTTTCTTTTAAAATGTGATTGATTTGTAATATTTATCAATGGTGAAATGGATATATGTTCAATAAGTTGGGTTCTTTTGAATTTTCTTTGCTCAGTAATTAGCTGTATACTGTAACGTAAAACTGTGAAGTAGTAGATAATGGTTGGAGAGAATAACTTGGAGAGCTGGAGCACTCGTATAATAAGCAAGTGACACAGAATGGTGTGAAGGAAAATGATTTTTGCACCAAATAGTTACAGTGATTTGTTAGATCTATTTGTATTATGCATATTTCATTTAGTTTAGTATACTTGTGTTTGTATACTTGATTTACGAGGGTCTCCATATTAATTGTATGTTTGTGTATTTATCTTGTTGGTGAGGAACACTTTAATTGGGCATAAAAATTGATCTTGGGCATAAAAATTGATCTAGAAAATATTTTTTGTACCATTGTCAAACACCACAAGATAAAAAAATAAAACGAACCTTTTACATGAAAATGTTTTGTTTAGCGCCCTTGCGCAAGTGCGCATGCATGCCAGTGCCCACTATTGAACGATTGACCATCGTACAATTGAACGATTGTACTATACGATTGACCATGGTACAATGTTCGTGGTGAAGTTAAAGTCTTGAGATTTTAAATTCAGTTTAATTTTATTTTATGTTCGTGACAATTAATCAATCAAATTTAATTTTATTGGTCAATTATGCAACAAGTAAAGAAGTATAGTCCTTTATTTAGTTGTATTGGGACCATTTGGTATAAATCACTTAGTTGCACGAACCAACCAATCAAATTTAATTTAATTGATCAATTATGCAACAAATAAGGAAGTATAATCCTTTATTCAGTTGTATTGGGACCATTTGGTATAAATTACTTAGTTGTATTTGGTATAAATAATCAATTAAAAAATTATTGCAATTCAATGTAAGTGTATTATTACTCTAATGTGAATTGTGATTGTGGTGTTGCTAGTATGTGAAAATTATTAATACTTGTGGTTCATTTTTTTTTATTAAATGGAAAAGGAATATGGTTATTCCATATTTACTAAATATATTTTTTCTATGTTAAATGTTTTTGAGAACTATTTTATAAATCAAAAGTGTTGTGCTACGAAAATGTCCATGAAAGAAAGCATTCAATTTTTTCGAAGTACAAGGAATATTTCATTGCTCCCCATATCTTGACATATTATTTAATAATGCAATGAAAGAAAAAAAAAAATGCAAATGTTTCTTTCTATTTTTGGGAAACTTAAAAATAAATAATAAAATAAAATCAATTATCATGCCTTTTGACCCCAAAACTCAGTGTGTCAACTTAGATGACAACAACATGATGGTTGCACTGGTCAACAATATGAGTTGTCAGTGCCGGACTTGAACTTGGTTCCTCCCTCAATGTCATCATTTTGGGTTTCTCAGTTGTAGAGAGAACTTTGGGTGGTCTTACACATGGTTCATTGTATCGGTCAATACGCAACTCTCGGTCAATGTGTAGCTCTTTTTTAAATTTGATATGCGATTCGTATTCATTCCAACTACTTTCAAGTGTACTGCACTTTCTATCATGGAGCCATCATTTATTTCCCTATTTGGATGGCTCTCAAGTGGCACAACTCCATTTTGATTTACTAGAGTTTCCATCTCAGTGAAATTTAATTCTGCATAGATCACTTGCGTTTTTATTCAACAATTACATTATATTGTTTATGCAACAATTATATTTTTGTATATTTATTACGCACCGTCACACAAGACTATGGCATAGGATCCCCTCCTGGATTTGGTCGGCTGACTTGTGTTGCCCGTGGCACGTCCTAATGTGTCATCATTCTTAAGGGCACCATTAACATTATCCATGGCAAGGTAAGTGCTGAATAACTTTGGGGCTATTGAAAAACACCAGGATTAATAAATTTAAGGCAATTGAGTATTTTAAAATTTTTAAGTAAAATTGGTTATATATGGTATCATTCGAACTAAAATAATGAAATGAAAGGATAATTATATGGAATCCTTTGAACTTAATGCACTTCAACTTTATTTTTAATCTTAACCATCATCCTTTATTAGAATTTGTAGACTTTTAACTTTAAAAATTCTCTATAATATGGTATCAAAATTTTGGAACCCACCCTGTCATCACTAGTAATAATTTACAACATACTGATCCACATCGATAGTCAATATGTTAGTCAATATGTTGTAAATATATATATATTTTTTCTAGTTGGTACTCACACACATGCCTCCACTGAAGTTCGAACTCGACCTTTGAGAAATAAGAGTTTGGTACCGCTAGGCCACAGGTCTGTTGATCAGTATGTTATATATACTAACTAGTGAGGGGCCTAAGTATTGTTTAACTACAAAATCTTCAAAAAAATGTACTCCTGAACCAGTTGTTGGCCCGACCCGGTGCAATTGAGAAGATGTTAACAGCGATGAAGCCGGAATTAGTGACTCGTCGAGCAAGAAGCGAAGCACAACAGATCAGGTTTCTTGTCGCGGTTCACCTGGTCATTGCATTACTACTTGACACTGTTCGATTTGTTGGTGTGTGGGGGGGTGTTGGGGTGGGTCGTCGTCCTGGTGAGTGCCATGTTGTACCTAGGGAAGGAGATTCGTGGTTGTGCTTGGATATATATGCTATATTGAATAGGTTTTTTTATATATTTATTTTGATTAAGTTTTAGAAAGAGATTCTAGAGATTTCATTTAGAACATTTTGGTGAGATCATCTCTGTTAATCAAATCAAGGGGCAAAAATAAAATTTCTCATATTAATAATGGCACACCTCAACAATGAGGCATGCATGGAATAAATAAAGGAAGGGTTATAATGGTAAATTTATTTTTTCGTCAAAAGACAAACTGAGGTTAAATCTGATTGGGGTGTGTGAGTAATTTTGGACAAAGTTTAATCTATCAATAATAAATAAAAACCTTTAAAAAATGTGGGGTGTGTGAGTAATTTTGGGCAAAGTTTAATCTATGAAAAATAAATAAAAATCTTTAAAAAATTTGAGAGCATTTCACCCAATATAAAATTACACGAAGTGTTTGTGAGAATTTGATTACAACATTAATATTGTTGTTAATCCAGTTTGTTTCAAATCTTACTACAACAAAAGTCTTTTTCTAATTATTATGGGTTTATTTGGCAATCACAATTACTTTGTATTTTTGTTTTGACCATAGCAGAAGTAATGTTTCTATTTTAGAGTGTGTTCAACATTATTTCAAAGCTTCTTTGGTAACCTAAATTTGTTACTAGAAGTAAAAACATGAAAACATGTTTGGTAAAAACGTTACAAGTTTAAAAATTTAAATGACCAGTTAAAAATGTTATTTTAAGTTTTTATTTATTTATTTATTTTAACAGTTCTTTGCTACCATCCGGATTTCGGAAGCAAATTTTATTCTCAATTTTAAAAGTACTTTGATACTATTCAAATAATAGCAAACATTTCCAAAAATTCTTTGTGCTTTTATTATTCAAATAATAACAAACATTGTTAAAAAAATTTCGTGCTTTTACTTCGTTATAATACGCTAGTAATAATAAAAAAAAACACCAAACAAAAGCATTAGCCAACCGGCCCACGTTTCCCACATTGCTTCCTGAATCAAATCAAATGTTCTTTACTACAAGGCCAAATTTTGTTGTTTTGACAATATTAGAGGAGATTTGCAAAAGAATAAAAAATTAAAATTAAAAATTAAAAATTAAAAGAAAAAAGATGGGATACGACGTCGTATTTTGGAAGTTGAAACGACAACAATAGTTGCGTTGCCCTTGTACCGTAGGTTATGCCCGGGGCTCGTTGATTTTCATTCTTCCATGTGTGTGTATGTGTGTGTGTGAGAGAGAGAGAGAGAGAGAGAGAATCGAACGATTGAGTTAGAGAGAGAGAGAGAGAGAGAGAGAGTGCAGATTATACGAGAAATCGAAGATACGGATGTCATTAAGATCAATCTTCGACGCTGCTGAGATCAGAGCGGAATTTCAGAAAGCAGGAATCAGCACTCACTTCATCACTTTCATATGGAAGTAATAAGATTCTCTCTCTCTGCGCGCGCGCGCGCACACACACACACACACATATATATATGCGGGCATATACATAAACATATTGATGCTATATATTCTGTATTCATTGTTTGTGAATACATGCAGGCATGTGATTCAGAACCCTAATTGCGAATGGCACGAAGTTCCTTCGTTGCCCTCTGCAGCTTACTCACTCCTTCGAACCAAATTCAAACCCTTGACTTCTACTCTTGACTCCGTCTTTGATTCAACCGACGAGGTCACTACCAAGCTCCTCATCAAGTTGCAGGTATAGACTCTCTCTCTCTCTAATAAAAAGAAGAGCCTTAGTTGCTTAAGACGCGAGAATTGGGATGCTATCCTAAAAAAGAACCATTTTGAATCAATTAAGAGTCAATTTTAAAGAAAAATTAATTAATATCCTCTCTTTTACTTGATCTTGATGGGTATGTTGTAAACATTGTCTTATTAGTTAGTGAATTTTAGATTTTTTTAATTATTATTATTGTTTTTTTTGGTACTCAAATTTGTCAAAAGTTCCAAGTGGTGGACCTTTTCGGGTCAATTTGAGAGCTAGGATGCTTGAAGACCATTTTCCCGTGATACCATTGATATGTTTCATGTAATATACTGGCCTCGGTAATGTGGGAAATGATTTTCCACAATTTTTAGCTAAAGTCCAATGCTAGAGTTTTATTTGATTGAATTTATGTAGTATTTAGCAGTCTTCCAATTTAGTACTTTCCAGTTCTACAGCTTTTTGGAGAATGGAGACTAAATTTTGTCTTCCATGTTAGTACTTCAGAGTTTTGTGGTTTGAAGCACTGTGTATAGGTTTGTGCTCTTCTTTTCCTTGTAAGTTAGAGGTACTGATAGTTGCAGTTAATTTTACATGTTATTGTGATAAAAATGTGCATTGGTCTTGTTTACTGTTGTGGATGGTAGACCATGTTGTGGTTCATTTGATTGTTAACAACTTACCAGAATGGAGCATTTGTGGAGGCAGTGGTAATGCGGTATGATTCACGTTTGGGGAAATATGGCGGAGATCCTCGCCCGGGTGGTCCAAGAGCAACCTTGTGTATATCTTCTCAGGTATATTATTTATTCTATCACGCACACTCACACACACACACACACACACACACATATTCCCTGCACACCAGATAATATATTGTCCAAGTTGTGCCAAGTCCAGACTCTGCTAATTTGGCTAGATGTAGTTAAATCATAATTATCCCTTGTCAATAGACAATAACTGTCATTTTGAAAGGAATGTACCAAAAGAAGATTGACCCTTTCCGTTTAAACCCATTTGTGGTTGGCATTTATAAACCAAGTGAACTTGTTAGTCAAATTTCTCAAGTGACTACTTGAAAATTTAGTTAAGGGGTGATTATTCCTTCTTGTCTTTTTTCCCCCTCCTTTTTTTTTTTTTTTTTTTTTTTTTTTCTCCTTATTCCACCTATTGTTACAGGTTGGTTGCAAAATGGGTTGCAAATTTTGTGCAACTGGCAGCATGGGATTCAAAAACAATTTATCTTCAGGAGAAATTGTGGAACAATTAGTGCATGCCCTTCGCTTATCTCATATACGCAATGTTGTCTTTATGGTAATTTCTTTATTGTCCTTTTGCAGTGTCCATTTGATAGAGTATTAATGTTCTGATATTAGTTTAGAGAAGCTTGTCAATTTGTAGCAGTTCAGTTATATTTTGTTGCCTTAGGGTCGCTTTGATCCTAAAACTTCCAAACAAGAAATTTAAAATGCCACTATCATGATACCAAAAACCTGCACCATAGAATCGGTATTAATAATTTGTAATATATCATTTTAAATTTGGGAGCTTTTTAATAGTTCTAGCAATATTGTGTGATTTCCAAAAATAGTTTAGACTTGAGAGTTTATTTTTCCTTTTTATAACAACGGACTATTCATGGGGCAATGATTAAAGTTTAGGCAGTAAGTGTGAGATTACAATTTTGACTTTGATGGTCTTTTTTTGTTGTAAGGTCAAAGATTAGGATACTGCTTTTTTTTTTTTATCCCCCAAACAAGCCAATGATTAGGATAGTGTTTAGAAAGCATCCGAACAAGCTAAAACCAAAATTACTTTACCAGCAAGTGTTGGAAGGAATTCAATATATATATGTATGATGAATTCAAATTTTAGAAGTCTTTAAATAATGGAATATATTTCAAATGACGGTGTTACCATTTACCCTAAATGAGAATGTAGATTACTTTGAAATAAATTAATTTAAATATAAAAATTCTCGGTGTTCTCGCAGACCATATTCCATCTGTTCCATTGCTGTCAATGTCCTCACAACCTGAATCACTACAGCAGATTGACACACTGTAGCTGGCCGCGATGCATTAAATTTAGATAGTGATAGATATAAGAGGGAGGGGGGAGAGAGAGAGAATGCCTGTAAAATCTCTCCTGCCACAGGCATGATTTTTGTTGATAAGCTCGAGGGCTCAGTTTCTATAACGGCAATGAAAGTCAGGAATTCTTCACAATCATTCTGGTGGAATTTTAACAATGGAATTGAGGTCATAGTTTTACTGTAATTCACAAGGGATTGTCCATCCTGAATATATTGGAAGTCCATTTGGTCCCTTACTTTGACAATAGTGTTAAGATGTCTGGTTTATTTGATTTTTCCTCATTTGCCCGTTCTTTTCTTGTGGTATAGGAGGTGGAACAATGGTGAGTTAGTGATGTTGGAGTAGTTAGGATGTCAGCTATGAGTGGAGACTTGACGATGGTTGTTTATTTACTTGCCTGTGATGGGGACAACTATCACACTAATTGGAAAATGAAGTGGAAAGTATAACAAAATACATCAAGAAAACTGACACTAAAATTTCTTGTACAAGTACTCTTATGACTTCATGAAGTCATTTACAAAAGCTACTATCACAGGCTTCAACTGTTTTAGATGATTGGACTTGCCACTTATTTAAAAAATTCATTTCTTTTCGTCCCACCAAACAATCATATTTTTTCTAAAAGAACTTTTTGGCCTTGGAGGAACTGTTAGAGCCATGCAAAAACTGTCTCAAACACTACGTAGGTCTATACTAGACTACTAGTAAGTCTACCTCTCCTAGTACCCCAATGTGGCAGAACCAATAATAGTTTTTTTTAATTGTTGCTCTTTTCATTTGGCTTTTTTGTAGCTAAGAACTGGCTAGGTGGAAAAGAATATAAATGGAAATCAAAACCAGAGACCTTGTGGTGTTGTGATGTTATGGTAACTAATAATGGTAATAGTGGCAGCGCTAGCAATTTAATGATGGTCATGTATCATCAGTCATGGTGGTGTATGGAGAATGATTAGTTTTGAGGTTGTGGTGAGATGGTGCCATTTGTGTTGAATGTGATGGTGATGGTGGTGTCAGTTGTGGTGGCAGTGTTGTTGTTATTGGTGAAAATGGCTTTGATAGTGGTTTCGGTAGTGTGTTGGTGATGGTGATTGCATAGGTATAAGGAAAGGCTAAACCTCCTGAAATATTAATCTTTTTGCCTTGACTTGGTCCCTGAATTTAGTTCATGACCCCAAGTTCATGCCCAGCAGCTTGAACTTTATAAAATTCCTCCCTGCTTTCTAGGCGCTGATCTGGCCCAATTAAATTACTTCTCCCATGATCATTAACCATAAATATGTTTTCAAACAAATCAGGACACTGGTTTTGGTAGTTTACTTTTCTGAATTGCAGCATACTTAATTACTTCCCAATGCTGTCTTCTAAATGCAAGTATTCATATTCATTAACCATATATATGTTTTCAAACAAATCAGGACACTGGTTTTGGTAGTTTACTTTTCTGAATTGCAGCATACTTAATTACTTCCCAATGCTGTATTAAAATTGTGGCTCTAATGCAATTGAGATTATTTATATCGTTGGTTATTAATTTTGTGGGCAGGGAATGGGGGAACCATTAAATAACTATGCTGCTTTGGTAGAGGCTATCCATGTCATGACAGGACCTCCCTTTCGGCTTTCATTGAAGAAAATTACTGTCTCGACGGTATGCACTATATATTGATTTAATGTTGAACTTCTTTGGTGTATTTCATAAATAAATCTATGCATCAATTCCATGTTATTTATTATTATTGCTTTTGGTGTGTTCTTTGAGCTCAGTTCTAAATGTGCCCTGTAAGTGACTAGGAACTATAGTCTGCCATCTGAGACTCTGAGGTGACAGGAATCTTGTCTAATCTAATAACTAACCAGTGATCTAAAATTGTTCGACTCTTACACTATTAGTATGATCATCAGGGATATAACTTGATATTTATCCTAAATGTGAAAACTCCATTCATTCTAATGCCTTGGAAGTCATCAACTGGGCTGAAACAGTTATGTTTTCTAGATCATTGAATTATTGTAAAGTTTTTTTTTTTTTTTTTTTTTCTGAAAGTTCAAGCAAATGCGCACACCCACAATATTGCCCCTCGCAGGGTTGAACACTCAACTTCCCCTTTGGGAAGGAGAGATCATACCATCGAGGCTAATACCCATTGGTGTGAATTATGGTGAAGTTGTTTGTTCCTTTTTTGCATAATTTTATAAAGCAGGCGACAGGAGAGATCTTTACCTCATGCTATCATCAGATGGAGCTGATCTGAAAATTAGAAACAATAAACCCTGTATGTAATTCAATAAAATTACCAAATTGATTAACAATGACAACTGAATCTCAAGAATGACCAAAACGATATCAAGTACAGTTTCATGAATGACATTGAATCTCCTTAGTGACATTGGCTCAATTTATTTTAGAGCTTAAAAATGCAGAGGTTGAACTGCATGCAATTTACGCCCTTTGAAGATGAATCTTATACATGTATTCAGAATTTAACCTCTTTGTAAATTTAGAAATTAATAGTGGATGTCCAATCAGTTGGTTTTTTTTTTTTTGATAGGCTGTTACTATATGAAGTTGTACATCATATCAGCGTTTAATTTATATCAGGTTGGGATAATACATGCTATCAAGAAGCTTCCCACTGACATACCAAATCTGAACCTAGCAGTGTCTCTGCATGCACCTGTTCAAGATATTCGTTGTCAGATAATGCCTGCAGCTCGGGCTTTTCCTTTGGAGAAACTTATGGATACACTGCGAGAATATCAAAAGAAGTGGTAGGAGATCTTCTTTCACACTATTAAGAAAAAGTTGTTAAATTAGATTTCTTAAGAGTTTTAATATTCTGCCAACATGTCAGGGTAATAAAATATCTCTTTTGATTTTTAGTCAGCAAAAAATCTTTATTGAGTACATCATGCTTGATGGGGTGAATGATGAAGAGCAGCATGCCCACCAGCTTGGCAACTTGCTGGAGACATTTCAAGTGGTGAGCTTTAAGTCTTCAACTTAGCATCCTAATGTTTTCCATTGTTATTTTAATAGGGAATGCTACATGTGTTTGAAGTTGTAAATCAGTTACTTTCCAAAAAAGAAATGAAAAAGGGTTGTAGATAGTTGTTTGTGTGGTTCACTCCTGATTGTGTGCAATGTGTCATCTGGAGATGTGTATGATGACCATGGAAAGTTTCCTAATCTAATGCTTTATTTATGTGTTGCAAATAGGATTGATAGGAATTCTAAAAAGATGCCTACTACAAAAGATAATGGCAACTGTTTTGCTGGATATGTGTCATCCACTAAATGGAATTATATCAATAGAAAATAATTACTTGAAATAACGAACAGTGAAAAATCAAGCTTGAAGTAGTTCAAGATTCGTTCTGATTTCATCTAGTTAGTCAATTGAACGGTTTTGATAATATTTTCAATGAATTGTGATCTTTTTTATGTTATAGTACTAATCAGTATTTTAGCATCATTTATTTTTACTTTAGATCTTGACTGTATCCATGGTGGCAGGTTGTAAACCTGATACCTTTCAATCCAATTGGTACCTTGAGTAATTTCAGAAGCAGCAGCGAACAAAGAGTGACCAGATTCCAGAAAATACTTAGGGGTACCTATAACATCCGAACAACGGTTCGTAAGCAAATGGGCCAAGACATAAGCGGTGCATGTGGTCAGTTGGTTGTTAACCTGCCTGAGAAGAGGTCTATTGGGCATGATCACTTAACTGACATTGAAGATCTTCATCTTTGATATAACAAATTGTTCGGGTAAGATTTTTAATCCTCGTAAGAGTTGCTGATATCAACTAGAACTTAACATTTTTATTCTATATATATTTTTTTATTTAGTACTTTTGTTCTATTAAATATGCCCATTAAGAAATGTACCTATCTCAGTGGGAAATGGCCTCTATGAAAAGGATAATTACTTCTGCAGCGAAAAGGAGACTATGAGAGTTGGCCCTCCTTTTTGGTGGGCACTTCTTTGCTGCAAACTAGTCCTTGAAAAAATATTTACTTTGGAATGAAGACACTGTTTTTTTCAGCCTAAAGTCTTTTACATCAGACAATACTTTTCATGTAAAATATACTACATGAAAATAATTCACTTCCCTTAATGTTTGGATGAAGTTCTGAAATTTTTTTTTTTTGAAAAAAAAAAAAAAAAAAAAAAATCATTTTCCTTATTAATCCTCTTGCTCCTGTAACAATAGATAGAGAAATCAAATAATACTAACCTTATTGTTTATTGCAACACTCTATAAGGTGCCAGGTAAGAACTACTTAATTGTAAAGATTTTCATTGTCAGCATCTACTCTAAAAATTGCAGGTTTTATTTGCCGTCATGTTAGCAGTTGGAGGGTCTCTTAGACGACTTTCCATGTCAGAGCTTGTGGGATATGGCTTGGCTTCTGTTTGGAGCGAGTGAAATTCCAAAAACTCGGTTTTATGTCAAGCGTACATGTAGTACCAGTATTATGGTCGGAACAAAAAAAATTCTCAGTTGAAAGGGTACATTCGGACCAGATACAGAGATACCGTCAAGGGAAGCAGTTGTCCAAAATGTTGACATAACTGGGCTTTTGCCTGTTTTCATAGAGTACAAGATTTATAGAATTTGAGTGTATGTCTCAAGATGATGTTAACATGGTAGTAATAATTGTAGTAGAGAATTTTTATATATTGAAGTTTGTGTACTTAAAGATGAATGGAGCATTTTCATCTCAGCCTATTTTTAATCCCAACATTTATGCGAGTAGTAAATGATGTTATCATGATGTCATGATGATTTTATTCTCACTCACATAAAATAATCGTATTAGTCCGAGAATTGGAGGACTCACCATTGTATTAGTCCAAGAGTCGGACTATTTATCATTTTGCACCTAATTTCGGAAACCCATAGGGCCGTGTTTGTTTGTTTGTTTTTTTTTTTTTTTTAGCATTCACTAAAACACGGCTATGATCAGTTTTGTCCTCAACAAGTTGAATTGTCAACCATAAGGTCCATAAATATGTTGAGGGAGAGAAACTGTAAAATAAGATGAACCCCAAGAGATACAGGGTTTATCTTTCAAACCAGAGGTTCAGTGTAGTTATGAGAAGCATTATGGAATGGTAGTGAATTTTCCTTTTCTATCATGTCCACTTTGCACGTATGAAGAGGGTTACACATGATAAGATGACACCGCGTGACACCTCCATGAATGTGTATTATTTGTCTTGCATTGTTTTTTTGGCCCACTCAGTCAGCAAGAGTAACATTGTTCCCCTATTGAAAGCCTATATCAGTAGAGCATCATCCCATCATCCTGTGACCTAATTGGTAGAGTGCTCAACTTTCTGAACAGGTGTGGTCATGCCCGAGTCCCCTCCCCCTAGTTTTTCAGGATAAAAATAAATAAATAAATAACATATATCATTAACTTGGTAAAACAGCTGCCAACAGTCCACACCATTAACCCCTATGGGATGGAAAAGAATTGCACACATCAACATTAATGCAGCACAAATAGTATCGTCCTCTTTCTTTTTTCCAATTAGACTTTTTAAGGCCTTGCCTCACTGCAAGTATTGCAGGTATTATTAATGCAGTTGTCATCCAGACAAGTGAAAAATAAAGCAAGCTAGCTGAGAACTTGCCAAGTTTGTTGAGCTCAGATCAAAGCTCAACTTTGCGTCAACGCAGCCACGTTAAATGCATCTCACTTCCAGGCCAGATCAAAAATACTAGTAGCCAAAGAAGAATGTAGTACAAGAGAGACTCAAAATGCAACCAGTACAGCAACTACAGGCATGAACAAAAACAAGAAGCAAGTTTGTGTTCAAAAATCAATGTTTCATGCGGGCAAAATATTCTGAGTACACGAAAACATTAACTCGGCACTTCAACAAACGTAACAAGGCCGCAAAAGAACGCCATTAATGATCGAGCAGCTGCATTCTTATGACAACAAGAGTGCTTCAACCTTCGCAATTTGATCCTCTTCCTTCTTTGGGCTTGGACTCCTGTTAGCCTCATCAAATAGATCATGTTTCCATTTCTCGACACGGACACCACCTGGATAATATCCTCGCCTCCCATTGAATCTTTCTCTTCCCCTGTAGTTACCACCACCACCATATCTATCTCTAGGTGGAAAGCCACCCCTTCGTGTCTCTTCCCTGTTTGCATCCCTATCCCCTTCAAATGTCTTTTCAGATCTGTCTGAAGGCCGGGGTTTGTTGCCTCCTCTTTCCTCCTTTCTTTCACTTCCCAACACAGAATGGTCGGGACGACCTGGCTTCACAGTATCCGTTCCTGTCTTCTCTGTATTTTCAGAGTCCGCGGGGATTTTTCTCTCTCTAAATGAAGGTCTTTTCCTTGCAGGTGGCTGTGGATCTGCCTCCACTTCAAAGAACCCATCATGGCGCCAAACACGTTCATCAGCCTTCCGAGCTTGGGGTTTCTCATCTTTTTGTTGTGTGTCAGAAATCACTGACCTGTTTGTCACTCTTTCACTATGCCGATCCTTTGAATCACTCCATCCACGCTCTTCACATGAAAAATCAGTCAGCCATAGCAATGCTTGACAAGGGATATATCATTGAAGTTCAACAATTATTAGGCACTTTTCGATGGCACATAGTATGTGAAGGAAGTGAAAAGAAGCTTGCTTCATACTTTAACACTAGGTTTTGATGAACTGACGCTTGATCGTCATTTTTCCTATTTCTCAATTTTTATTTGCTATTAACTTTCCCAATTACTCAAGGATATCAAAGATTTAATTGAGGCATATAGCAGAGTCAACCATAAGTCTAATAATATTTAAATTTTATTTACCTTCTGCAGGAAAACAAATTTTAACACTTATTTATGCTTTAACATTGAACGTTAAAACAACTTAAATCTCTATGATTAAAAATATATAAAAATTAAGTGGATGGAACCACAACTGTAATCAGCATAAACAAACAAGCTATAAGAATTTAAAGGACAGATGGGATGCTAATAGTATGGAAAGGTGCTAGATGGGCTTGAAGTTGTAAAAGTAGACTGGTTATTAATTAAAGAATTTTCTGTTTATTACTGGTTTCAAAACGACACGATTGCTGCAAAATTGAGAACTGAATAATATGATGAATGTGATAGTATGAGGTTTGTGTGCTATTAACATATCGTGGCTAAATATCTCAAACATATGACGTCTACCTAATGCAGCTTTTGACATTACAATAATAAATAAATAAAAATTAAAAAAACAGCAACATTAAGATTTGGGGCAAAATTGCAACACACATGAAGACAAAAAAAGTAAGAAGAATGAAAAAACACAAATATAGTGAGATAAAGGTAAATGAGTAAGAGGAACTCACCAGTAGCGGCTCTGCGGCTGAAGCTTCGACCTACTTGCGCGGCATTACCACGCTCATCGTGCTGTTATAAAGACATGCACAGGCAAGCCTAAAATTGTTATATACAAGGATGCACTTGAAGACAAGGGGGCCAAACAATTATCCCGCTACATCAGCCAGAAAAAAAAAAAAAAAAAGGTTGGGACACACTGAATAACAACCAAGTAGTTAACAAAAATATGGTTGGTTAATCGAATAAATGATCATATGGAAACACAGCTAAAGAATTTCTAATTTAATTTGGAAATAGGCACAAGCGGATCTTCGACCAACTTGTTGAGATAGGCATAAAAAAAGTTACTTTATCAATATCTTTTACCTCCTACAATTCATAACATCAAGTAGCCCCAGCAGGGTAAACATCCAACTAGAAAAATACATGGAAAACAGTTATCTTCAACCTATTTTAAAACATCAATTGTTGAAAGAAATTTACAATTATTATTTTGGCTCATTTTCTTTAAGGTAGATCTCACCTCTTAATAAAAAAAAAGTAAACCTATATCTGGCCTGTAGACACATTTTTCGTGAACTTTTCTCGCTATTTACTCCATATTGCCTTCAGGGTGAAATCTATAGAAGTTTTCAGTATCTGAGAATGAGAAGACTAGACAAGCAGCAAGATTTAGAGTCCATAAAGCAGATATTTTTATTTACTTATTTTGGTGGGCAGTAGAGTAATTCATATGCTTAAGTTTCTAAATTTCTCTTGCAAGCATATCAAATTTCTCCTCAAAAAATTAAATTATAGAGTGCTATTTTCCAGAAGGGAGATTTTTTTATTAAAAAATTTATTCAACTACACCTAAAACCATTTGTTAATAGAAATGCAGGGTCTTATGTTGATATCAGGAAAAAGACTTGCACATTTTACAGAGTTATCTTGCAAAACAAAAACTTACCTATCTGCATAATTATCAAACCAAGGAGATATAACCTTCAAAGTTCATGACTTCAGTCCCAGAAAAGTTCAAAGGAAGAAAAAAAAAAAAAAAAAAACTGTTACACTTATAAGCACAGCAAAATGGTGAACTTCTATGTCTCCCCGCCATAATAATACCCTACAAGCTCACAAACAGTTAGCATAGATACCACTATCCCTGCTGCCTGAAGAGTGGACTCACATTACAGAGCAAATAGGTTGTCACTATCAAACGATAATGATAAACCATAATGATCGTAGATTTCAGATAATTTCCAGTAACTAACAATTTACAAGATGTTCAAATGGCAGATAAAAAGAAATTCTTCTAAAAACCTATAGGATCCCAAAGATGATAAATGTGACTGAGATCAGTTCACAGCATTCAACTGAGTTTGTAAGAAGATATTTTTGAAAATCAATAATGAAATTTTTTTTTAAAAAAAACATTTCTAAGTGATGTATAAAATGACACAACACCTGAAAATAAGTACGAGGTCGGGGTACTTCTGCAGGGTCCAAAGAATTTTTGGTTCCTTCACTATGTCCATTAGTTTTCTTGTCAGATTCCTTGCTCAGAGCACCAGTTTCTACTTTAGAATCAGATGCTACAGGGACCTCAAGAGGTAAAGCATCTTGCAGACGACGGTGGTGCTTTTCATCCCGATTTGAATGATTTCCAGTATCCAAATCAGGGTTGATGGACAGTCTCTCTGTTGCCGGTTTACCATCCCTCCTTGATCTCTTAGGACTGTGAAGTGCCAAGGAAAAATTGAGCCATGTTAAAATTGATGCCATTTTCAACAATCATGTGCAACTACGCTTCTAGTCATTCTTATTTTGATCTAAATAACTGCTAAATTTAAAGTTGCAGAAATATTTGAGTCCATGGTGAATAGTAATTCCCAGAGTTAAAGCTGTGTGTTAATAAAACATAAACCAATAAACTTTAACATATCACAAACACTAGTAATAAAGTGATGTGTAGCATTCAAGTTATATATATTGATGAGACTAAGGACTTAAAGAAAATGACTGCAACATCAAGCCAGAATGTTTATATTTCTCAGAGGAAATAGAAAATAAACTTAAGGAATCTGTCAAGCAATACTGTGATAGATAACTATAACTCTCTCCTTTTCTTCAAGTAGCAATAACTAGCCAAGCCTTTTCAATTTGTCAATATTTTGACTTCAATGGAATTGAGAGGAAAGATAGAAATAGCAGTGATGTACTATGACATACTCCAAGCTGTGATCTTACATGCAATGCATTACACACTAACAAAATCACATCAACAATAACCACCAGCTGATCTTACATAAAATGCATTGCGCACTAACTAAAATACATTAACAATTAACTACCACCACCACCACCACCACCCTTGCAAAAGATAAAAAGGAAAATGGATCTCTTAGATAGAAACTACAAAGAAATCCATTATTACAAAATCCCACTCACACTCCTTCTAGGGGACCAGTATCAGAAAAAAGAATGGTGTTCCTATCACTACCAAAACTAAGGATACACAAAACTGTGACACAATGCTCCTCTTACATTATTACTCCAAAATAAGGGAAGGCTCGTGCCAAACATTATATACATAAGATATACCATTTTACCCCCAGGGAATAAAAAAGGACTATTAGAAAAATAAAAGAAAAAACCTAGCCATGTCCTCGTGCCCTTGATTTAGGAATTTGATCAAATCGATATTTCATTCCCTAATACATTGCATGAGGCGAAAGAGTAAATTTCAGCACTGTTATAGATCCAATCACTGAATGAACGAAGAAAGGTAGTTCAAATGGATAAAAACAGCTTCTAAAGCATTAAGTAGTCAAGAAGTGCACGGCATAAGCGCCAGTGATACAGTAGTCATATTCATCCAAAGTGTTTGAGGTAGCTTATGGCATCTCATACATTGGTATTGGTGGTGTAATCAACCAAGAAGACCATCCAGTTGCACTCTTTAGAGAAAATGCTTAACAATGCTAAAAAAATATTCCACATTCAACAAGATGTTGTACATGGCATTACAATCTTTACATTATAAGCAGCAATATCTTATTCTTAAAGATACATGCCATTGCCCAGGCTTCTCCCTCCTATTTTCTATCCTCTTCCTTCTTTTCAATCATTCAAAAACTATTTTTCTAAGAAGTCATCCCCCTCCAAGATTAGGTTATTCTTTATTTGGTACTAAGATCAATGATTCTACATCAATGAACAATGTTTTGGGTTGTGCATTCAAATCTTGGATAACTAATGGTGTGGCTATCATGATAAACTCTTATATACCATCCAAATAAGAACAAACAAGCCTTGTGGATTGAAAACTAAAAGTCACTCTCCTTCACATTTCCAGAAGATAATATTGGTTTAAAGGGGGAAAAAGGGGCATACTTAAACTAGAAGAAGATAGGTTCACAGAAAGAACTAGCACACCTACAATCACTGCGTATAAGAACTAAGGACCAGAAATTTGCAATCAACATTTTCCTCTTAATCCACGTGATTATACAAATAATGAAATCTGGAAGACTTTGATTCCAACAAAGTTAAATTTGAAAAGAACAGTTGCTTTTCTATATCATTCAATGTCTAATGGAATGGTTTGACATTAAAGTATAAATCAAACCCTTAAAGAACTTTAAGGAATTGGCTAACTGAATTCACAGAGTGTAAGAACTTCACTGTTACACAATTAGGTGGTGACAGTCATCATTTTAGACAATACACAATGTTGTGTACTCCTCAGATACAAATTAAGCCCACAATAAAGAAACCTCTATTTAAAGCAGCACGAGTGCCTTATAGATTTTTCTATTGTTTTAAAAGTTAAGGTATGCCCCCTCCAATACCTATCAAAGATTGAACTCCAAAGATCTAAACAATTACGAAATTAAACCCGGCAAGGTAACTTGTATCTCTGGCCACCAAGGTCTATTGTCATCTTATCTACTTTTCAAAGTGGAACGTAGAGAGTGCAAGTTGAGAAAAAAAAATAATAATAATACTTTGATTGCGTGACACTTTATTTTTATAATGGTCAAACACTTTAAGATCATTTATGTATTGATGAAATAAATTGAATATAATCTAGTTTCAATAAATTGACAATCTTTTTAATCCAATTAAATATTACAAGTGTCTCCCTGGTTTAGCATGACTTTTTAATCCAATAAAAAAATTATGAGGGCAGGAATCTGATCACCAATGTTCAATCACACAATGTCACCCACTACGACTTCAAAGATCCATATTCGTTGTCGCCGTCCATCTCTCACAACTTCCACTTTTATGTCGCTGCTCTCCTCCGACAGCTTCTCGAACTCTGTTTGAAGTTACTGATAGCAGTGACTACAACAACTAACACAACAGCAACTATGATGCTCCCTCTATCATACTACCTTTCCTTGAGGCCATGCTGCTTAATCACAAAGCCAAGAGAGAGAACTGCACATACAAAAAGTATGATAATTGTTGTATCTTTAAATGCTTCAATCACAAAACTGATTAAGCTTTTTGCAGTAGGCTTCTTGTATGTGTTGGAACCGAACACATCGACCCTGTGTTTGGTATCATCATTGCTGCCACTGATACTGAACCTCTCGTCCATTTCAAGAACGGTTGCAATGATGATACCAAGCACAGACAGTTTGAAAAGCTGTCAGAGGAGAGCAGCGACATAAAAGTGGAAGTCCGGAGAGATGGTCGTCGAATCGATCTTTGAAGTCGTAGTGGGAGACATTGTGTGCTTGAACATTGGTGATCAGATTGCAAAATTGACTGAAAGCACAGAATCGATCTTCGAATACTTCAATCACAAATTTGACTAACCAAATTTCACACCCAGAATAAGAACTTCACTGTTACACAGTTAGGCAGTAACAGCCATCATTTTAGACAATACACTGATGTTGTGTGCTCCTAAGACACAAAGTGAACCCACAATAAAGACCCCTCTCTTAAAGTAGCATGAGTTCCTTACAGATTTATCTGTTGCTATTAAATATAAGCCATGCCCCTCCAATGTCTATCAAAGATTGAACTTCAAAGATCTGACCAATTGTGAAATTAAACCCGGCAAAGGTAATTTGTATCTCTGGCCACTCCAACTTAGCTGTGTGTGGTTGAGATACAATCTATGCATGTATAAACCTATAAACATAGAGACTCACCACCGAAAGGTTGAGTCCTGGGACCTTCAAGCACAATGAGGGTTACACTCCACATTTCTCCATGAAAACATATCAATCTCATAATCAAAACAAAACCCAATAACTTGTTTCTTGTTTATTTCATCAATAATTGTTAAATAGCAAAGAATTTTCACAAACTCATCCAAACATGTGATTCGTTAATTTTTTTTTCCTGAAAATTTACATGAATGAACATATCTATAACAATGAACAAAAGCATAGAAACGTAAGCATCCACTAATTGTTGTTATAGCAAATAATACACCACCTTATGATCCGAAATGGGAAGAAGTGACCTAACACTACGAAAGAGTGAACACAAAGAGAGAACCATATCAATTCGAGAGAGAGAGAAATGCGGTACCTTGGTTCTCGATCGAACCTAGAGCGGTGGCGTCTGGAGTCGGATTCTCGACCCTCCCGTCGAGACATTGGTTTTTCGCAAGAGAACACACAACGAAGACTGAATTAGGGCTTGAGATAGCAAATACTACTCCTCGGTGTTATAGTGGTGACACACTGATTTGTGGGGCCTGTTTGGACTTCAGTATTTGTTGGAATATATATATTTTTTTATTATTATTTTTATTTTTTATGTTGAGTTTGGCTCTTAAGAATGGGATTTTCAAAGATTTGTAAATATTAATTTGAACTAGGTTTCCTTCAATTGCAATTTCATTGTCAAATTCATTTTTTTCAAATACAACTTACTTCTTTCCTAATTTTAGATAGTAAAAAAAATTGTAAATATCACGTGTGATTTTGAACATATTGTGAAATTGGTTCGAAGTAATGTTATCTTAGATATTTGTTCCATTGCTACTATAGATTAATACTTTTATGTTTATTTTTATATTTAATGTTTTGATCTCTCTCAATTTATTCTCTCTTGTTATTTTTTTTCCTTCTTATTGAGTTTTATTTGTCAATGTGATTTGAATGGTAATAAAATCAGTCTTTAGAATTGGTGCGCTTTAAGTCAAGTCACTAGTGCATGTCATATTTGAACACATTGTACCCACACCATTGCACACTCAAGACACCTCCATAAGTTATCATTTGTTCCCATTTGTCTTTTATGCATTATTAAGGTAACATTACTAGTTTTGCTTCATTGATCATAAGTTTGGATCTTTTATTACATTTTGATGTTAAAAATCCAGGTTGTGATTAATTGAAGGAGTTTGGGAAATATTTTAGATTTTGATTGATTTTGGGTGATTCATTGCATTTGGGTGATTGATAATCATTATTTTTAAAATACTTGATTTTCTTCATTTATATTTGATTTGTGATTTGAACCCATTGGAGAAGACTTTCAAACTTGAAGATATGTTTTATTATTTAAACAATAAAAATATTCAAATACCACTTATTTCTTTTGTTTCTTCATAATTTAATGATTTAAGTAACTAACACTATTTCAATATTTTTTTCCCTTTATCACATCCTTTTCAAGTGCTCCATCCTTGAATTTTAGTTGTAGGCGTTGTTTGCAAATGTTTTTGTTACAGGTTTCATGTTACAACAAGTGTATTGTAGCGAAGCAAAACACCTATCATGTCTAATAATCTAGTTAGAGCCATTTGAACAACACCCGATATGTTTATGAAAAGAGAACCAAGAAAGAAACACCAAATTAATGTTTTCTAATGTTTTAACACTATAACGCAAACATTGTAATGGTCGTTTTAATGAAGTCATATTGTCATTCAATCATGCAACGTCATTCAATCATGCAACACTTTGACATTGCCAAATATGTTTAAATGTTTCTCTCTTCTTTAGAATTCTGAAAAGCAAATATTTTTCTCAATGTTCTTTCATGGAGACTCTAGCTTCTTGGTTTTAGAAGGGATTTTCGTCAACGAAACTAGTGATTCAGAAAGTTAGAGTCTAGAAAGTCAGGTCAACAACCAACATTAAGTGTTGGGTCGATCCCTGGCTTCCAAACAAATTTAATCATTAGCCAACTTCTCATCCTCCTTCTCAAGGTGTTATTCACATAGTTGTTGATTTAATCGATCTTGTATCAAGACAGTGGGATGTAGGGATCATTCACTCATCTTTTAACCTTAGAGATGGTAATCTCGTTAAGTAAATCCATATCTTAGATACATGAGGTATTGATTAACGGATTTGGGGCCTTAGTCATAATGACTCATTCACAGTTAAACCTACTTATGAAGCTGCTCTTCTCTTGTGATGACCGAGTCATCTTTTTCTTTTTTCGACATTATTATTTTATTTTATTTTATTTCTTTTCTGTCTTCGGGTCATGTGGGCCCAAGACTGGGTCAAGTGCTCAGGAATAGTTCCCGACACTTTATTCATCATATCCTTTTACATATTTTACCTTCATAGTATTATGGATTTGTATTGCACTTGTTTACGTTTTTACCTTTTGTTACTTGAGGGCGATTGTGCTATTATGTTGGTTGACATTTCCATTTTTGGGGGGTATTTGTGTGTTTATCTTTTTGATATTTTCATTTGGGGCAATAATGCGATTATTTTTGAGATATTTTCATGGAGGGACTTTTGTGCAAATATGAAAAGTTGGGGACAAATGTTGTGTGTTGATTGAAGACATGTGTTGGGATTTGATTTATGACATATGGAAGGCTGGATTGATGCCAAGTAGAGGGTGGATATGTGTGTATGTGTGAGAGGTAGTGCTAGGGTTAGTGTGTTTGATTTATATCATCTTTCCTTACATATTTTTTTGCTAATCTTCTTCTTCTTCTTCCTCACCTCCTCTCATGGAATCCATTAATGCCACACCTTTGACCTTTATTCCTTCATCTTCCATTGATATTTTTGTATTGCCATTGAAGAAAGAAAGCTTGTGGACTCTAAGGCCAACCTAACCCTTCCATTTGTTTTGGCTTTTGGACTTTTTCTTCTTTGATTACTAGGGTGGCTTTCCCTAGTGAGGTAGGGAATGTAGTATAATTAACTATAACCTAAATTTTTCCTTGTGTTTTGAAGTTTACCATAAGATATGCATGTGTTGTTTGAATTGTGAGATTTTAATCCATTTTGTTCATAACCTAAGTTTACCTTAAGGTTCTATAGCATGAGTAATGATAGATTTGTGAATTACTTGCTTAATTAGTTGATTTGTGTGATTAATCGACTTTCCTTGACGATTTGCGCAAAGACTTTTGCATTGCTCTCATAGATATATATAGTTTAAGATGTAATGTGTATTCATTTTTTTGAGGTTAATTGTTTAGACTTTTGAGTACCTTACATGAGTATGTGTGAATGATATTTTAGGTTGCTAGTGGTTCTTGAGGATGAAGTTCTAGCATGATTATGATCTCATTTGGCTTTCCTTGATACTTGTGTATAATTGCTCTCATATAACCCTTTTGTATATGATTTGTTAGATGATGTATGTCTAATCTTTTGACGTTGTTGTGCAGAACTCATATGCTACCTCAAAAACATTGTATTGATGTGATATGCATTAAGTTGGTAAAGTATCTTGGAAAGTATATTGCTAACATGATGATAGCCTTGCTTGCTTGGACATATACAATTGCATTGTATGTCATCTTATCTATATTCATGTCGTGAATTAGTATTGAGGACCTTAGGGCATGGTTTGTGTGAATTGTAAATTTGGTACGCTTATGAAGTGCATTACTTGTCTTAGATGTGTATGATACATTGGGAGATTCTTGTTGATTTTTGGGATATACTTGGGACAATTGTTACTTTGATAATGCGAGGGTTTGATACTTGCGGGTGAGACATGAGTTTCCCCAATTTATAGTGGTCACTTGGGTAGTTCCCTACAGGTTAATAGCCTAAGAACAGTTACGGTTGGTTATCGGCAGTCTGTATTCCGGGAGAACCATATTTTTTGTTCATACAATGTGTGTGTGTGTGTTCGGGGGTTGCATATGTATTAATTTATCCCTATTATGTGATTTTGTATTTGGTGTCCAAGTTGACATTCTTGTGTGATGGTAACTTGGCTCATTTTGGAGTTGTTGTATTCTTCTGGCTTTATATATGTACTTCAGTTGGCTTCACATTCTTGATTCAATTGCTAGTTCTAGGTGTTGGGATTTATATGCCCTGGCATAGCAAATTCCTATCTGGATTATAATGACATATATTCCTGACATATCTGAAATATTTATGATTTTTATAATTGGTGAATTTAATGTATTATGTTTCGATTCACTATGAAATTGATAGTGTCCATGTAATTACAAGAAATATTTATATATATGTATGTGATGGCAATCAATGCATGATATATAAATAGTAATTATAAATTGTTCATAGTCGGTAATTATGGATGGACTCATAATTAATTAAGACTTGAACTGGATCCGCGTTAGGTTAAGATATATTGCGAGAGCCGTCGTATGCAATTACTCCCTATCACCGTCATGTCATTTGACTCTTAAGCATGAGAAAAGTATAGACTCTTTTATTAATTAATAATTACTTTAATTTGTTCGGCGGATTCTTCGGGATCCTTAGACCGACACTTTGGGTAGTTATGTAATTAATAGTTAGAGGGTTATATTTTCAATATTTGCATCATTGCTACTTGTATTTATTTTGTATTGATTATGGTTGATCACAAAGTAAATTCGAAGGCCTTCGTGTGTTTTTAGACAAAATGATTTATTATATATTTATTTATTTAAATTATTATTTTTATCAAACAAATGTTTTATTATGATCGAGCCAGAAATAATCAGAGGTACCAAAATAGATATATTAATTAAGTAGTCGGATTGATGGCTTTATTTATCCGATAACTAATTATGCATAGAGGGGTCAAAGTGCAATATTGACTTAGAGGTTATTTATTATTGGAGTTCAATTAATTTCTTTTAGTGGAGTAAAAATTAATTTATGAATTAATTGAATTGGGTCCATGGACCGGGCCAATTATTAATTCATTGTAGCCAATAAAATAATAGGCCCAATGGATTCTCACTCATAGCCCAACTTGATATTGGAATCATATTAGATTTGAGACATATGAATTAGAGATGGAGAAGGATTTGTTGTTTCCTTTTCTTTATTTTTATGTTGCCTATAAATATACATGGTCTATGTATATTTTAGGGGGTGATTTTAATGAGAAGGAAAAATGAATTTATTTTCTCTCTCTAGAAAATTAGGGTTTATGTTCTCATCTAATGGAGGCTCCCACAAGCCTAGTTTTCCAAGGTCATTCATGGAGGCTTATGAGTGATTCCTAAAGGCAAAACAATTACCAAGAAGATGGAGATCCATGGAAAAGGTGTCTAGCAAAAGGGATTTACAATAAGTGAGAACATTCACTTTAGAGGAAAGTTTTAAAAGTTTACTCAGACCTTTGATGTAAGTATTCAACCTGTTAATTGAATGATACATCATATTTTTATTTTTGCGTAAAACTTGTCTTTATGTGATGAATCAAGATCTATGAATCAAAATCCCTCGAAAAGTTTTTAAAACTTGCACGTTTCCCAAC